AGCAAGAGTCTACATAACTCTATGAACGTCTCCACAACTCTGCCAAAGTCTGATTGTCACAGAGAAGGATGGCGCTTCATGCCTTAAAAGATGACGTAAACACATAGACTTTGGAAACATGACATAACAGAATGAATCGTATGGCTTCAATGTAAGGAACACGTAGGCCTAGAATGACATGAACATGGCTTATTCATAGACCAAAGTCCAATGTATGAGATAGTATATCTATTTACTGTACATTTATGTTTCGTAAGCTGTTTAAAGTACAATAGTAAGCAATTTTTGAAACTCCATAGAACAGTGTCTATATTAATTAGCAAGCAATAATATTTAGATATTCAAAGTATCATGGATCTATTCGGGTTCACTTGCTTTCTGGTGTATATGGTCTATGGTCTCCAACCTGTAGATCGGGAGCCACCAGTAACCTGCCACCCCTTCCTGGTAGCTCGCCAAAGGATAAAGAAATGAAACAATTAAATACTTAATATTTACGATTGTTTTATTTATTATCATTATTTATTTTTGTAAATGCACTTACTTTGAGCACTAATTACCAATATGCGATGGTAAATAATGACTGTACCCAATATCAGGCTTGTTCACACCAAAATATCACACATTATTCCCCACAGCCTCTAAAGGAGTAGCTCTCTGTCTTTATCATCCCGGGAAAATAGCTCTCTGGTGAAAAAGGTTGGGGACACCTGGTCTATACAATTGGCTTTACACGTATTATTTAAAAAAAAAATTGTTGTCATAAACAGACTTTGACTCCTGTCCGTGCTATCCTCGCAGCCGCAGTGCTAAAACTAATGGGAAATAACGTCTGCATTTGCCATTTACCAGATGCATACATTTATTTAAGTAAGAAAAACATGAACGTCACATTGATTGTTATACAGTAAAGTATGGTAATTATATTCAATTCTTTTGAATGACACTATTCAGAATTATTAGTCAGGCATGAACCATAACATGGTTTTTATCATTAAATCAACTGAACTTACGTGGCCCTGATAATATATATATATATATATATATATATATATATATATATATATATATATATATATATATATATATATAAGTGGTTTACAATTGATATTGTTTTTTTTGTGTGGGTATTTTGTCTCTCCACACAGAGATGGGAGTTGGGTCGCCAGTACAGGAGGTGCATGCCAGACCTATTGTACATGTTTTTAGTGGTAGGGAAAACCGGAGTACCCGGAGTACCCGGAGTACCCGGAGGAAACCTACGCAGACATGCAAACTCCACTCAGAAAGGCCCTGGTCCAACTGGGATTCGAACCCAGGACCTCCTTTGCTGAGAGGCGAGATTGCTAACCACTCAGCAACCGTGCCGCCCTCAAATGGATATCAAATGGATGTTTCCGAGCAGTGCTCTCTATAATGTTGTGTTTTTTGTGTGGCGTCACAAATATATACACAAAAAATGTATTGTATTAATGTGATGTATTGTTGTAATGTAGTCAATATCCGTGGTGACGTGAAAAAAAAGAGATAAATAAATAAACCAAAAACATTGCAGCAGAAGTTGTGGGACTAATGGAGTACTTTCACAACATTCTGTGATTATGTGAACTGGACGAGGAACAAAAAACAAACATTATCAGCTGCAATACTCCAGATATAAATAAGATAAATAGTACAAGTGCTCTGATCGCCTGAACAAACACACAAACTCCATCACATCACCCATCTCCACAACAGAGCAACTGCACTATACATTCATGTCTCTTCAACATACGCCACTTTCCATGATGCCTCCCATGAGGTTCTGCAGCTTTAAAATGCATTGATAGAATGACATTTCAGCGCAGGAGCAACATTTTCCCCTTGACATTTTTATGATTCAGACTCCACCTGCTCAGGATTAGATATGGAAAGAAGACTAATCACTGCATTAACGGCGTGGTTTGGACAAGAGCAATCAAACGTCTCACACAGAGAAAGGAACCAGTCTCTGAGTCAGACTGAATCAGCTCTGACTGTTACAAAGATGGCAAACATGAAGAGAGGTACACTGCAAAACTTAGGCAGAGAAAGTGTTAAGAGACTAAACATTTCGAGCTGCACTTTTCAAACCGATATCATTATTAAAGCTGGTGTACCTTACTTTCAAACCACAACAAATTGAACCATAATTCCATGTAATTAGTTCCTGGTTAAAACAGCTTGGTTCTATTCTGGCTTTCACAAACATGTAATGTCTAGCCTGTGTCACATCAGCTAATTTAGTCAAAAAAAAAAGGACCATCAGCTTTTAGGCCATAGCGTTAATTAGTGCCTCATAGGGCTTTCTTACAAGTAGGCCAAAGATAACATGTTTTCTAATAAGTGTGTTGTGGTCTGATTTTTTGCATTTGTCCACATTTTACTTTTACAAAACTCTTTCTATTGGGACAAACAACATGCAGCTATGTATTAAATTAAAAGTTAGATACCCCAGCTTTAAAACAGTAGTAGTAGTAAATGCTGAAGGAGACAAGGTCAACACTCTAGTTCTAGTGTCTTATTCAGACAGAGTTATTTGTAGATGAGAAGGCATACTTTCCAGCTCCCGTTATAGAATATGTCTTATATTTAATTTTGTATGTTTTGGCATTGATAATGGACATGCTGCTTTTTACAGTGAAGTTTTGATTTGATGATTTTCTGTTTCTTTGGCCACTCCTCTTGTCTTGTGTGAATCAGCCTTCTGTTTGGCTTCATATTAAAGACCTTTGAAATACATGTGTCTTTGGGCTTTAGTGGTTACTGCCAGGAACGCAGGGTCCTGGAGCCAGCATTACACACTGACTGTGTCATCAGGGAAAGCATTCAGTTGTCTCTTTATTTAGGTTTTGGGAAAAGACATCAGTGGCTCTTTGCCTTCAAATATTGAGTCACAAATGATTTCAAACCAAATATTTTCTGTTACATAGTTTCCTATTAAACGTTCAAAGAGTAACATTCTAGTCTCATAAATCAAGGCGACATGGGAGACTGAGACTTGTTACATTGAGAGAGGATATTTTCAAAAGTCATTAGGAAAAACATTGAACAGATATTGTTTTATGTTGAACAGTGATTGATATTGCTCATACAATTGTTAGTTTATTTAACTGGATTCTAATCCTTGCTATGGTGCCAAAAAATGTCAACAAAATGAATGATATAAAAAACCTTGTACTGCAATTATGATTCCTTTATGATTGGTTCAAGGCTGACAACAATTGGCTGATCATTCTTTTTCAGGAAAGACAACAACGAAATAATTTTAATGATTAACTCCTGAGTTTGTGCAGATGCCAAGGCCTCTGAATGGAAAGCCCTGGCTCTTAAATAAACCCCAACGAAGGAACCAACTCCACCTTGAACAAAGCTCTTAACAATGTTTTTCACTGCCTTTTCACGAGCTCACTTGTAATTTAGATCATTGTTTAATTACACTGTTCAGAGTCGTCCACAGTGAATACAGGGTGTCTGGTACAAGCTCACGTCACCTTTAGGCTATAAACCTCTGAGTCCAACACCTGGACCCACTTCCGAACTGTCAGGGCTGTTTCCGTCTCTGTCCAGGTCAGAGGTCAGAGGTAATGATCATTTACTTTGTCCCATTCACCTGAGTACATGTAACTTCTGCTCAACTGATGGTTTTCACACTCAACAATAACCTGCTTTCACTTGTCTCACTAATTCATAACGGGTATATCATTATCATCACACTATATCTGTTTATGCAAATTACATTTCTTGTAATGTGTCACAATATTGAAAAAATACATAAATCCTGCGTTTTTAATGATAATAATAATAATAATGCATCGGTTTTATATAGCGCTTTTTTGGACACTCAAAGACGCTTTACATGTCATTATTCTTTCACTCCATACACAGTGGTGATAAACTACTACTGTAGCCACAGCTGCCCTGGGGCACACTGACAGACGTTTCAAGCATTCTTACTGGATTAATGCAAATTGGCCAGGTTATAGAGGTACTTTGAAAATGATTTGCTTTGTATGTTGATTCTTAATACATCATTAACTATGGAATTCCAGTGCTTACTGAAACATTTCTAAAAATACATTAAACCTGCGTGTGTAATCTCTATACAGCTCAAATAACTGCACATTTATGGTCCTACATTAAATAAAAATCTTGAGTCTCCACCAGCACATTTACAGTCATGTTTTATAACAATGTTGATGCATTGCCACATGATGTCTGAATATTGTCATTGAAATTGTCCAAAAGTAAGTCCAGATTGTGTTATTATCACACACCCCAATCTCTCTTTGTTCCAAGGCCAAGCTCTCATTTACAGCCAATCCCCATCACACCAGTGGAACATCACAGCAGACCACACCAATGCTGTCCGTGCCAGAAATAGTACTACTGGTGAACTATTGGCCATGGGACATTGGGAGGGCTAGGGGTAGGTAACATGAGTGGTGTGTGTTTATGTGTTGTGGCTGTCCTTTGTGCCATTAGGGAGGCGGGATTTGCTAAAAATGAAATGTCCGCTCTTCAATGGGCTTTAGGGGGGAAACGGCTTTCTGGTGCCTGAATTTTCATCATTTAAAAAGCACCAACAAGAGGGAGGGTAGAGCGGGGGGTAAGTCTGCAGAGAGGGAGGTGTAGCAGTGGAAAGGAGAGACAGCCTCTTGGAGTTGTGAGGCAGAAGTGATGGATTCAACCCACTAAAAAGTGACAGTAGTCTCCTAACGGGCCACACGCTGTACACAGGCTGCAGGGACAACCATCATCTATCAGGACTAAACCTACAGGGATATAGGACCTGAGGAGTCTTTGGAAACTACACTTTCAATGAAGACTTTTTTCACACTGGGCTGCACTGGGCTAATGACAGCGTCTCACACACACAGCTGAAAACAGAGCCACTTCCACAACTGAAGCTGGAATGGACTGAGGGGACACCAGGAGCAGACAGAGGACAGCTTTTACTGTTGGAATGACTTTTAAACAAGGCAGACTTCAATTGGCTTCTACTCAAAGGCACGGCAACTAAATTCTCTTTAGTTGATTTGTAAGTATTTCACAATTTCAATACAATAAACACCATTCAGAAAGTTCCTCACTAATAACATATTTAAAAAATAAGAACTAATTGCATGACCTATTGTGTCAGAAGTTACTTGGGATTAAACCACAATGAGTAGATGAATGAGAGCTGATAGCTTTTACGTCCACATATGTCCATGGTCTACATGTGGTCCATGCTGTAGTGTCGGCTATAGCAACATTCCATGTGGCGCACTAAAGAGGCGGCTTGGGTCAGGGCAGATATCAGCTCTGTGCAGGGACCTGCTGCTTCAGGATGTTCCCTGGGCTCAGGAGAACAGCAGAGCAAGAAGCTGAATCCACTCTTTGTTTCTCAATTGAGTACTTTCTGTGCAAAAGGTCTTTGAGGAAACTGAACTGAACAGACCCACTGCCTTGTGTCAAACTTCCATCACTGATGACGCACTGATAGGCCAAGCTACTTAGGTCAGGAAATAAGCCTGTGTTTAGAATACGTCCAGTCTGCTCTGTGGGATTCCTCACAAATGTTCTATGTCAAAAACACTCAACACACTGAACAGGTAGTTAACTTAATTATGTTGTACATGTCATGTTCATGCGTACATGGATTACATTCCAAAGGAGGAGAGAGGCCATCCCCAAAGAGCAAAGCAAAGAAAATTTGACATTGATTCAAAACATGTTAGGTGTCATGCAGGACGCTCTCCTCTAATGTGAACACACACTGACGTCGACCTGATATGGATGAAGTGCAGACGGTCTGTGATGATGATGTGATCAGGAGCTCACATGGAAGTAGGGCACTGTGCTGATCTGGGTCATTAGATCCTCAGGAGCTGTAGGTGCTTAAGTCTGAGGAGAATGGCACAATGACTGAAATGTCGGGGTCTCTCTGGGTACCACCTCTGTCTACTGCAGCCCAGTCTAATGAGCTGCCCAAGAATGTGTGGAATTCCATGTTCACGCTGAAATGAGAGCTTGAGAGACTTCATCCTGAGCTGCCCACATCTCCAATTAATACCAGACTGTGGCGTAGCAAAGTCCCAGGCATAATGACACTAGCACTACATTATTGATAATGATCAGGTAGCAGTGATTTCCTTGTGTATGCACCTTCAAAAGGCCATGTTTTATTAGCATTGTTAAGCACTAGAGCTGCTGACCGGTCAGTGGTAGCTTGTTAAAGTGAGCTGATGTGCAGACTTATAATGAGCGGGGTCTGTTAACACGCAAGGGGGCAGACGGTACATGTAATAACAGGCTGTCAGTGTCAGCCCAGATGGAACTCTCTCCCATCACAGAGACACTATCCCGGCATGAGTTCCAACCTAAAATACACATTTACCGACACAGCAGATGCACTCACACAACAAAAGACATTTCATGACCAGCTACAAATATTTGTTCCAGGCTTTGAAGTGTAGCGGTGCTTGGAGCAGGAGAATCCAGCCTAACGACATCCAACACGCGACTCCTCAGGCAGATAGCACTACACTACCCTGAGACGCGGCTCCAGTTCCAGAGAAACCGCAGGAGCCACTGGCCAAACATAGTCATCATCACATTACAGCTCGGGACAGGCTCCACGCAGCCCCATTATCTCAGTGTGCGCTGAGCTCCTCCTGCTGCTGTATCTCACACTTCAATCACTGCCTTTTCGCTCTGATATCACGAACAGACAGGCTGCAGTATTCAAGGCAGCTACAGGGTCAGGCATGTTCCCCTTTGACCAAACACCCGCACCAAACTATTATTGTATCAAAACTATTCATTTGTGTTTAATAGATACATTTGTGACAGGTGGCATGCACCTTTTTTGTTTCTCCCTCCGATTTCCTTTCATTTCTTTGTGACAAGCCCTCTCTGGTCATTTTAGCTTAAGGTGCAAAAGTTTGTAACAGTTGTTCTGTGGCCGGGGATATGGAGAAAAGAAAAATCGTAGAGCGTAGACCTGCACCAGGAGGCATTCCCTACAAAAAAAATCTTATATCCAAATGGAAATTCAGATCACCTCCAAAATCAAATATTTTTTTCTTTCATAGTTTCCTGAATATGTTGTAAAGTCGATAAACAAACCCTAGTGAAACCCACCCAAAAATACACATACAAAACAGGTTAAATCCTCCAGCTATATATCGAAAGGTGACTTCAATTTTATCTATCGGTTTAACTGTAAAATAATGTAAATTTTTACCATATTATCCTGTACATACTATATTGATATAATCCTCCTCTTGGCAAAACCACCACTACTAAGATTTGTTTACTGGTGGTGGTCAATGTGGAGGTAAGAAAATGTTTATCTGTTTCTCTCTTGCTTCACAATTTAAAAAGTAACCACAATAATATAATAATCTTCACACTCACTTAAGTAATATGTTTTCTCTATCTAAAACTGCTCATGAGAATAAAAGGAATTAATGGTAGATCTCAATCTTAGAAAACAAAAATAGATATACGGTCAACAACCCGTCTCTCTGACCAACTTAGTGCCCTGAGAGACGGAGAAATTCACTGTAAATGAAGTAGCCCGCAGTAAACAAACACATATCAAATTAAGTCCTCATTTGATATGTATAATTCAAGCCTTCTTAACTGATCAAAAGTCAAACAATATGTCCTTTGACACATATATCGTCTTTCTTTGGATGAGCAAAAACATGTCGTCCATCTTTCTACACAGACATAACTTGTTTGAATCAAGTGTGGATGATTAATGAATGAATAGCTTATATCTATACATTTCTCCAACACAGTCATGTTTCCAGCATGTGAGATCAGCCCATTCAGAGCAGAGGTGTTGGTGCTACCCCCTGTGAAACTGGATCTGCAGAACTGTTTTCAATTAAGGTGCTCTGGGAGTTCAGGGTTTTCTTATATCTTCAACGCAGTCACTGTACTTCACTTATAATAATGTCATCTCAAGAGTACATGAAGTAAAATAGCGTAAAACAGATGTTTGTGATCTTTTTTTTTTACTTATAATGCACGTCACATCATGTTTCCGGGCATCGCCTCATCTTACCAAGCGACTACAATTGGACTTTTTATCAAAACTGGCAGAAATACAGAAATGCGCATTCATTCGTGTAACCCGGTTAGAAATGAACATCATTTCTTTATTAAGGGTTGCTATGTCAGTGTTCTCCGACCTTTCAGCACCATGGCACATTTCAATCTGAAGAGACCAAAGACAGTATTAATACACTAAAGTGATTTATTTATGTGGCGCATTGACCCCGGCAGTGACACTTGCAGCAATGAGATCGATTGCAGCTGAAGATAATCTCAGATCCCCCGGGGTCAAGCACTGGTGGTGGCTAGAGTATGGTGTGAATGGGGCGTAGGCGGAGCAGGAGCCATAGCGGGAACCTAGGGCGGGAGCCTAGAGCGGGAGCCTAGAGCGGGAGCCAGAGGGGGTGCTGAGGAGGTGGTGGGTGTTAAGGCTTCAGAAAGCGCTGCTGGTCAGGAAGTGGCTGCCTTTTAAATTGCCCGCTTTGATGATAGAGGGTTGGCAGGAGGCTGGCCGGGGTGTGTGATTGGCTGAGGCTCGAGGCTGGCATAGCTGTGTGATTGGTTGGCTTGGAAGGGGGATTTTGCACTCGGTCTTTCAGTCTGAATATGCGCTTTCAGCTTCATCTTTGTCAGAAAACAATCACAAACTGATACTGAAAAATGCAACCATTATTAACAAAAAAAGTTATGCTCATCAATGTTTATCATATAGAAAATCAAACAAGCACTGCCCCGTATGGATCACGGCTCTATGTGTTTTCAGTTTTTTTTCCTGTATTTGATTCTCTGATCTGTGTTGGCAAATTCAACAGTTTTGTAGAAAGTCCTCCGAGACAACTACGATTGTGATTTAGGGCTATGCAAGAATACATTGAACTGAATTGAAAAAGTCTTTCTAATCTTCTCACATTATCTACTTTTTACATTATTTTGACCAAAAAGGAGATATTGGATCATTTCCAAAGCCACACCACACAACATATCAAGGCAACATACCAAAGCACACTGGTTAAAAAAAAACAACACAGCACTATTGGATGTATTTGTGTCAAAACCTCAACCAAAACAGGAAACTGATTAAAATGAACCCAGAGTTTCAAAACACATCATTATTTAGAAATGTCCTAATTGAAATGTAGGGACTACTGATTAACTACACCAGATGTGCACTGAAGAAAAACAGAACATCGTAAAAAAAAGCTTCTGTTTGAATTTTTTGCGCAACATTTTACACATCACATTCACAGTGCTGTTGTTCTTGTCCCCAGGAGCGGCTGTTCTGGACCCAGCCACATGGAGCCCTGTTCGCTGCTGCTGGGGCTCCTCCTCGCGGCAGGATTTCTCTGTGGGGCCCAGACTCAGAGTGGTCCTTCAGACAGAGGTCAGGGCAAGGCTGGCACACAGGAGTTCGACAACAGTGACGCCGGTTTAGAAAGAGAATTTCTTTACACCGGGAGGAGTAAGCGCGCTCCAGCTGAACCTCCCCAGGACAAATGCTCCTACACCTTCATAGTGCCCCAACAGAAAGTCACAGGTGCCATATGTGTGAACTCCAAGGAACAAGAGGCTACGCTGGAGAGCCGGGTCAACAAGCAGGAGCTGGAGTTGCTCAATGTGGAGCTGCAGAAACAGAAGCGTCAGATTGAGACGTTGCAGCAGCTGGTGGAAGTGGACGGAGGCATCGTGACTGAGGTCAAACTGCTGAGGAAAGAGAGTCGCAACATGAACTCGCGGGTCACACAGCTGTACATGCAGCTGCTGCACGAGATCATCCGCAAGAGAGACAACGCACTGGAGCTGGCGCAAATGGAGAACAAGATCTTGAACCAGACGTCCGAGATGCAGATGATCACGAGCCGCTACAAAGACCTGGAGCACAAGTACCTGCACTTGGCGTCACTGGCCACAAACCAGTCCAATCTCATCTCTCTGTTGGAGGAGCAGTGCCAATCACGACCCGCTGTGAGGCAAGTTCCTGTCCCTCAGCCACGCCCACAGCCCCGCCCACAGCCTCCAGCCGTGTCACCTCCACTGATCAAGCCTCCAGTGCCACCACGCATCAACAACCAGATCACCAACGAGATCCAGAGTGACCAGAAGTCCCTCTCTCCTCTGCCCACGATGCCGACAGGAACGCAAGGCCCTACGACCACAAACAAGCCCTCTGGTGAGTGCCGTGTAAAAGACCCACATTACGCCAAGATGTCTATCAGAGCACTGTTTAAACTGCTATAATAGAAAGCATTTCAGCGGGGTAAATACACGCTCCTAAATGGGCCTTCAAACATGCTGGCAGATGATAAAGTCAAAAGCAGTAAATGGAATCAGCTGCTTTACAGTTCCCCTTCATTAAAGGACTACTGATGGAAGTCAATAGTGGAAAGTATTTGTGCACCAGAGCTTTTCCAGTCATACTTAGTGCTACTGTGTGTCATTTTCAACCTTTCAGAAAGAAAGAGAGATGGCTTCATGGATATGAGGAATAATTGCATCTTATTTAAACCAAACAGAGATATAGAAATCCATTGGTGCCGGTTCACAAAACGGGATGAAAGGAACAAAATAGTGAGAGAGATACCATCGGTGCATTGGTGATGTCATTTGTTCCATCTGCACAGGGATGAGATCAGTCAAATGTTCCACCAGACTTTATCAGGCAGAACACAGGACAGGGTAGGGCAGCTCTCCACCTCGTATCCCTTCAACAAAGACATTCCTGTTGTTAAATGGATGCCAGGAAAGAACGCTATAAGACAATACAAAAAAACACATATATTAAACAACATTGTGAATTTAAAGCAATCCGCCACAATACTGTACCACTGCTGCTTTGATTTGGTCGTGTTAGAAGGATTAACTACTAATGCAACCGATGTGAAATGATCGACTGCTGAGACGGGGCTACTGTTTCCTTGCAGTTGTCAGAATTCCCTTTCCTTGTGCCAGTGTTGCTTTTGGCAGTAATGGGAAGTTGTCTATTTGCCTTGAGTGAGCTGGAGCCAAAGTCAATTCTACTGCGAAGAGATTTTAAGAGGCCTTCCTGAAAAATGAGACTTCACTAAGTGCATAAAACATATTTTTCACCAACTTCATTATCCTATAAGACTTTGACATACTCTTAGGTCTGCTAAAAAACACATAATTCATAGACAAATGTTGATATTCTTTGGATACACTATTGATTTTTAAAATGCAGTAATATTGATTTATGTTTGATTTTTGTACTATTTTGTAAAAGTCAGACAGAGGTGCATACATTATAAACAATCCTATTTATCTTCCAGAAACAACAGATAAATGCACATTTTTTTGTTCAAATGGGGGGAAGAAATGGACAAGAGACCAAACACGGAATCCTATTCAATTGTTAGAAATATGTTGTATCAAAAGGTCAAATTTAAAGTCTTCTGTATCTATATATTTATGTATTGATATATTTTGAAATTCCCAGGCCTGTATACATACTCTGTTGTCCTGTCCATCCTTAGGACCGTTTAAAGACTGCCTGGGAGCCCTGGAGGACGGCCAAACCAACAGTGGCATGTATTTGGTGAAACCCGAGGGGAGTAACAAGCTGATGCAGGTGTGGTGTGACCAGCGCCACGACCCCGGCGGCTGGACGGTCATTCAGAGGCGTTCGGACGGTTCTGTCAACTTCTTCAGGAACTGGGAAACATACAAGGTGCGTGAGCTTCAAAGAATGGAGGCTCTGGGTGGTTTTTAAATGTTGTTTTGACATAAGCCAGAGTTAAGCCACAGTGAATTGGTTTCTGTTGGCCTGTTGAATGTACCCGCTGCCTGACCTGCAGTAAGTCACAGCCACAAGTCTGTGACCCACTGATTCAAACAATCACACCTCTCGGCGTCCCTGTTTTATTGCTATTTGACTAATATGTATATTTTGGGAGCTCTTCAAAAACCATTTAGTGAACTGTAATAAATGTAAAGAAAGAATACATCAATTGGTCTTTATTAGGGCTGGGGTGCGACATTTCCAAGACGTCAATCAATCAATCATTATCTGTATATCACAATTCATGTACAAGGCAATTAAAAGTGCTTCACAAGAGCAATTTAAAAACACATTCAAAATAAAAAAGTCAATGAAATATACAATCATTTCATAATAAAACAGCAGTATCAAAGTATGGGGTTCAAAACTCTCATTGGGTACATGCAGAGATTATATTTTTTATCGTTTGGATCGGAGCACATAGCACAATTCTATTCAAAGATTCAAGATTCGAAGGCAGTATTATTGAATTTTAAACAACGTTCATTGTTTGGAGATGACAGCTTCACAAAATGAGAAATGTGTTCATTTATGTATCTGTCCATTTCATCATGATATTACCTGCACTGTTAATGTTGTCTTTAACAATGCAGGTAATGTTATTCCCTGCATTGTTAAAAGACAAATGTGCAGCGTTCATCCCATCTTGTCCCATCCCTAGTCTTTATACAGGTTTCAAAACAAGCCAAAAGTCATGAATTTACAGTTACATATAGAGCTCATACATGAAGTTTGGTCCATCTGAATTCAAATGGACAGACATCATCATGTGCAGTAACAGTGTAGGGTGATATAAAGGAGTTTCATTCACAAATTTTGATGAAAGGAATAAGTCAGGAAAAAAACAGAATCTATATGTATCTGCTCTCGCTCATATTTTTGTCACTTTTCATTGGCTCAACACATACAAATATGATTAGTTATTATTATCATATTTTTGTGGACGTATATTTGAAGATTGACTTGGAAATCACGTTTGGTCAATATGTTAAAAACCAAATGTATTCATGTTTTCTTCATATTGTCCAGACGTAGTTAAACACATCACTTACAGAAAATAGGTTTGTTTTGACATTGTTCTGATGTTGCTGATTTGTTTTATAGCAAGGTTTTGGCAACATAGACAGCGAGTACTGGCTGGGTCTCGAGAACATCTACTGGCTGACGAACCAGGGCAACTACAAGCTGCTGGTGACCCTGGAGGACTGGTCGGGGAGGAAGGTGTTCGCGGAGTACGCCAGCTTCAGGGTGGAGAACGAGGCTGACTTCTACAAGCTCCGGATCGGCCGTTACCATGGAAACGCCGGGGACTCGCTCACCTGGCACAACGGCAAGCAGTTCACCACGCTGGACCGGGACCACGACACATACACGGGTAAGAGTAGAGCAAGAACATGGTTGACTTAAAACACAATGGTCCAAGAGTATCTATCACTGGGGTGTGAACGCGCTATAAGAAAACAGACGGCAAAACGAATAAAAAAATATAACTAGACATTGACCATATAAGGCGGATATATAAGGCAATGTTGTTTAAGGTGTTGAAATCAGCTATTGGCATAACAAACAAAATTGGTTCAGAAAAAAATACCAAATTAATGACACATAAATAATAATTATGTAATCGTTTCTTTAAAAATACCTCCATAAATGCACAACAATAAGATGACATCCACAAAGAAGAAACTATACTGTATATCCATGTTTTCCTTTTTTTTGTCTTCTTTAATTAAAAAAGCCTCTTCCATCAACACCTAACTACCTTTGCAAAAATCTGCAATCCATATCAGCCATCTGCCACTCAAACTCTGACCATATTAGTCGATCTCTTGAGCCGACACGTTCACACTTGTTGGTCTAGTTCACTCCGACAGGACCATGTGTGGTTCACTTGGAGGGAAACGCACAGACCTGTTTCAGAAGTTGAAAACAACTAAAGTGACTTGTAGACACATGGTTATTTTTGACCCCAGTGAACCCGAATTGGTGCAGGGAAAGTGAACCAGACCAACCAGTGTGAAGGCGCCCTTAATCTCTAATTCATTTGGAGGAACAAATATATAATATTTCTGTGTAATGTCTTTCTTATCTGGACTTCGTGTCTGTAATAAAGTTTAATAATATAACTAAACATTTGTATTATGTGTTTATCTTTTGTGTTTATTAGGAAACTGTGCACATTACCAGAAGGGGGGCTGGTGGTACAACTCTTGTGCCCACTCAAACCTCAACGGAGTTTGGTATCGAGGAGGACACTATCGCAGCCGTTACCAGGACGGAGTCTACTGGGCAGAATTCAGGGGCGGAGCCTATTCACTGAAGAAAGTGACGATGATGGTCCGGCCAAACCCCAACACCTTCCATTAGAGCTGCCAAAGACTTTTGGACGGCCAGGTTTCAGTGGCTCTTAAACCTATTTTTAAATGTGCAATATTAAAACCAACCTCCTGGACCGTGTGTGTCAGTTTACTGTATCCTCAACCTTATATTGCAATAATTAAACTGCTATTCAGGTAAAGTTGTATAATGTATAATTTAAATCTGAAAGACACAGGAGACATATCCAGTGATTTTTTATGCAGCCTAATAATGCAAAACACCACAAAGACTTTTTTATGCTTCAATCAAACAATGCGGTACAGCATTTAGAATAAAAAATAAACTGTTGCCAAATACATGTTTCGTATTTTTGGAAAGTCATTTGCTTGTCTATCAAGCACTGTATTTACTGTATAAATGTAGTTTTTTTCCGTTTGTACATAGGACTTTGTATGATAATGTAATAAACATGTTATTAATACAGCTTGTGTTTTTATTTTTGAATTACATCCAGAAAAGGATTAAGAGATTATCAAGTATCATTCACTGTTGATAACTTTTTCCAGTTTTTTTAGCTACTGTGTCTAAGCATTTTCCTTTATGTATCTTAAAAGTCTGTCTAAGTCCAGGTCTACAACAAAACACAAAGAATAGCAGTATAAGTACTTATCTAAACATGAACATCTTATTTGAGAACGATACACTAGCCTGGATAGAATCTGGCGGCCCACAGCGAATGAAAGGTGGCAAACTTGTAAAACTGATGTATTTAGCAGCCTTGACTCCACAAACCAACTCCACAATGTGTCAACGAGATCCGCAACAGCTGCAGAACCGAGCCAAACCTTCACGCCACAATCAGAAGAGAAGAACTGTTCCTGTCAAATTCTCTCAAAATGTCTGAAGTTAGAAAAGCACTGAAACTTTTATATCCATTAATGGCAGCTTGAGATGTCATTGAGGACTAACTAAACCAACGGGTCATTAGATGCAACTGTTCCAATCCCACAATGAATGAGCCAATGTATTCGGAAAATAAAACACAAAAGTTAAACATTGTTATTCTGGTTTGAAAGTCTGACAAAGAAAGTCATGAATCACCATCACTGATAGTTATTCCTTTGGGGGGAAATGTCTAATGTCTATGTGTCCATACTTGCATGCAAAAGCCAGATCCCCTCAGACCTCTGAAGATGTGCAGGGTGGGACCTGGATAGTTCTGTGATGGGAGACCTCCGGGAACACCAGTGGAGCAGCTGTAATGTGCCAAACTATTGTTGTATCCTTAGCAAGACACTGGTGGTGGTTGGAAGAGGCTAAATAGAACATACTGGTTGCCTCATGTCTATCAATGTGCCTCAGGGCAGCCGTGGCTATAGTTGTAGTTTATCACCGCTGTGTATGGCATGAAAGAATAACCTCTTTATGTGTCCTGATAGCACTATATATAACCATTGCATATTATTATTATCGTTAGTGTGATACTATTGCCGTCCGTAATACATTTTGGTGTTATATATAATCAATTGTTATGTACTGGGTGCATAAGTGAAGGAACACCACATAAAAGTAGAACAGCTGTCATTAGATCTACTTGAATCAATGCATATAGATACGTGACTGACTGATAGGGCTTCTGGTGATGCCCTTAAGCTATAGATATTCTCTATGATACAGATACAGAATATTTACAGCTTTAACAAGGGGAGACAATACATCATTTGTTATTGCCAATTAACCTGACAGCGGACATAGTTTTGCAGTCTCCATAAACATTGGATTGCACGAACGTCTGAAGGAGATGGAAAACCTTCAGCAACAGTGGGCGTGTGTGTCGTCCCAGCTCCTCAAACCAACATGGAAAAAGCCCGGGCTGACAAAACAGCTCACGCAGCACAAAACCAACCACATGCAGTTCAGACGTCAAACCAGAAGCTTCACATCTGTACAAATCCACGTCCTTGTACTTTTAATAGACCCATTTGAACTTTCCAATGCTTGATTTAATCATTGACAGTCAAGGTTAGGGGAGGGTCCCAGAAAGTCCTGAGCGGCGTGCGCTAGTGAACATTTTTCACGCACTTCCAACTGGCAAGACTTTTGGCACTTGACAGCCGAGGTTTTTCACTTATGTCAGTGGAGGAAAGGTCGCCTTCAAATTCTGAGACTGTAAAATAAATGAATAAAGAGAATCAAAAAAAAATGTTGCATGTCTTTTATCATAATTTCAGACATGTAACAATCCTGATACACGTCTGTTGTGACACATACGGAACTACTCAAAAATAGGAGTTGGCTATTTAATGATGTGATTTTCTTGGGGGAAAATTACTTGATTGTTTATGGCTTATTTTGTGAAATTGTTAAATTTATGTTTTTCCAAGTCTGTGTGACTTTCCACCAGTGGATGTGTACTTTCTATAACTTCACAGCTGCATGTTACGACCACTTTTAAAGGTCTGTGCCCTCAGCAGGGAACTTACAGGAAACCTATTATGGACGGAAAGGCATTTTTATTTTCTAAGCTCATGTCTAACCAAGTGTATACAAAATCAGAGTCAAACTTAAAACAAAAGACCTGAAGGAGTCCTCTTTTTCTTAGCATGTTGTTGATGTGGCCCTGCCTGAAGCCCCCTCCATGATGACTGATGTCTAAATGGTGTCTGCTTGTGTATCATTTGTGCCTGCTCTGATATAGAGATAGTGAATGTTTTGGAGGTTGTACAGTGATGCAGTGAGGCAATAAGGCTAAGGTTTTGAAGGTATACTTTCTGATCTTTTGTACACACAGTAAAGCAATAGCCCCCATCTCCAGATGCTCGGCTTGGTCAGGACCAGAGCTGGAGAATCATACCTATTATGTATGTTTTTGGTTGAATATTGATTGGTTATTGGCTTAGTAAGATCTGCTGCTTCGAATTGATGGCAGCATGCACTGGCTATGCCGTCAATAAACCCTGTCAATGCCAGAGATCATCGTCACTGTTCCACGCATCACACTTGTCCGTGATCTCGAGTATATCAGCAGTATTTAAAGACCCAGTGAAGCACTTTTTCCACACTTGAAGCACACTTGCTTCTGTTGCAAGAAGTTCCTGGGTTAGAATACCGCTCAGCACAGGGCTGAGTATGTATTTGCTTCATATCTGTGGATATGTATTTGCTTCATAACATGTACAATAGCCCCGTAACACTAGTGCCACTGAAAGACCTAAGAAATATACACAATACTTTAGGAACATAAAAAGAATAATCCTTAGAACAGGTGTCTCCAACCTTTTTCACCCACATAATTATTTTCACAGGGCAATAAAGACAGAGAGCTACTCCTTTAAGCAGCTCTGGGGAAAAATGTGTGATATATTGGTGTGGACAAGCTTGATATTGGGTACGGTCATTATTTACCATCACATATTGGTAAATAGTGCTCAAAGTAAGTGCATTTACAAAAATAAATAAAGATAATGAATAATACATTCTGAAATGTTAAGTATTTAATTGTTTCATTTCTAAATCCTTTGGCGAGCTTCCAGGATCTGGTGGCTCCCGATCTACAGGTTGGAGACCCCTGCCTTAGAACCTTACCCAAACAAGGAGACAGAGGTCTTTGATATCACACACTGTCCAGGATGGAAATATTGTTTCAGGCAAGACATGTTATTAAACAAAGCCAATTTGTAATTATGTATTGAGATTTCTTTTAAAAATCTGTATTCTGAAGCACACATTTAAAAACAAACAAATATAGATTATTACATTCTGAAATAAACAAGTACATGTCGCTTTTTATGTGTAGCTAAATGTTAAGACGTGCCCGTCTATAGAGTCTATGGTCTATAAGTATATAATTCCACATAGAGCTGTTTTGATTATTGATCAATCCAGCTGTTATTCTCTAAGTGAATCAATAAGATTTGATTAAAATTTGACATATAGAGCAGCTTGAGCCAAATAGCTAAATATTTAAACAGAAAACTGTGAATCAAAGAGGAGATCTTTGCTGCCCTGTGTCAGACTTCTAAATCTGTATCTAGAGCAGATATTCGATTGATCTATTATAGATGTGATTTATCACTCTTGGCTGCAACCCGAATTCATGATTTCTTTGATCATCAAACATTCATTCATTCACATTCAATTCATTTCATTTCATTCAAACATTATGGGGATGTTTCTGCTTTTTTATTATTTCTTATTTGATCGGTGCAAACTCTTGACAAATATTGGAAGACAAATCGATCACTTATTTAGAAAATTATTTCCTCCCATTCATGTAACTTGTTTAGAGATAACATTTCCAATGAACTCGAATGCAAATACAAGATGGTGATAACCTTCCGCAGTAGGACTATGTTTGCGAACAATAGGCCTGAAGTCTGACCTTGAGTTTTGTTCAGGTCCAAAGCAAAGCTGGTATTGCAATGATTTTCAAGCGTATGCTTATTTATGATTTAACATTAACATTAGCCGGAAAAAAAACTCTTAACAAGGAAATAGAACTCAGCACAGCAGTCAACCATTCGGCCCAATATCCATGAGTCAACCAATCTATCCAGTCTGCAAGGCGTACACCGCATACACTGATACACAGCGCCCTCTTGTGGCGAGAAAAAGGCTTGGCACTCAATTTTTTTTTTTTATAGTACAGTGGGGGAGAGCAACAAGTATCTACTGATGTACTAGTTCATTAAAATACTATTCATATGCGGATATGTTTTTTAATTCTCTAGACCAAAAGTGACTTTCTAGCTCCCCCTAGTTTATTTATGGTGCAGCACCATGTGCACATCTGCCCTACAATGAACTGTACCAAAAGTGAAAACAATAACTAGCCATTTTAGAATTATGATCATAAATATTAAAACGTCTTGTTCAAACCTCAGAAAAGGTAGAAATTATTCAATACGTATTTCATAAACAATTCAGAGATGAAGACATGCACATGTTTATCCAAGTGCAGTATCTGTTCATATTTCACCTGCTTTGATCGGTTGTAATTTCTATGGCTCAAAATACAGTACAGAGTTAGGGTCGGAGAGATGTGGATCCATAAGAGGCTCCCCTCTCAACAGGAGCACAAACCATCTTTTAATCAGCTGATAGGGTTTACATCATATGTACTTTTTTTTTTTTTCAAGGTACTCAGAATAATACTGTGTATAAATGTGTCTTTAGAACAGGCTAGTGGTTATAATAAAATAATAAAATTAACAGTTCAAACTGTTGGGAATTAAAATGCCTTGCAACACAACATCTCCTTCCAGAGTAATTGCTAATTGTATGATCTGTTCTTTGTTCTGTTGAAACTGTTGACAGAGGATTCCATTATCCGGGATGTGAATGTGGTCTTGTACTGCACTATTTTTATTGTAACATGAAAAGTTTGATGAAAATACTGTTCAAATAAATGAACTAACAAAGAAGCAAGATCTGGTCAAAGATTAAAAACAAGAGACAAGTAAGAGCCAAATCAGCCTCTTTATTTTACAAACAAGCGCATTTGTCAATTGACATTTTAATAATGCTTCATAAAAAAGCAATTTACAAGCTTAAGAACCAAACAAAGCAGCACAGAATGATTATGAGTAAAATATAGAATTTGAATAAATATACTTTTTTTCATGCTATAAAATAAATTCATAAATGGCAATAGATACAACTTAAGCTCTAGCTAGCTTCATTTACTTCATAGTTGTACAAAACAGTAGAGTTATGAGGTTCACAGTTGGGTTGTGAGGTTGTGTGTAGAGTGGACAAAACCAGAGTGGGGCCAACGCAACATTGTGCTTGTCATTCCTGACCTCCAGCGGCCCTTGGGCTCCAGCTCTGTGGAAAACATGGACTCATTGAAACCTTGAGGCAGAGTGTTTGAAAACCACTGAGTGAGGATTATTCCCCCGACCTGAAGAAGTGCACAATTGTACTACGGACATAAGGTATGCTGTGTCCAATGAGACCACTTTTAACACTATAGACCCTGAGTACTAAGTCGTTTTTGCTTTTTGCCTAATAGATATGAGAGCTGTTATAATGCCAGGTTTGAGAATGAGGAGGACCAGCGTTATTCCACCCTTCCTTCATGATCCTCAAATCTCAGCATTTCAGTCAAAAGAGGCCTTTGGAGATCAAGGAATGTATTGTAAGCACAACAAGAGTTAGCCCACTCCTAAACAGTGGCTGAACAGCCCAAAATCCCTTTCATTACAGGACGCAGCTGGAGGTGCAACTCCAACGCCGAGTTAACACAGTCAGCTCTTACATTGCAGTTCACCGACTACTATACTTTTTTTTCAGTTCGGCCTTCTGAAAGCCAGCAAGCATTACCAGTTTTTACTAAAAAAACAAACAAAAAACGAGCTTCTTATTTAAAAGAAAGTCAACCTGTCCAAAGGTTCACAAACTAAACTTTATCAATATCAAATAGTCCTACATCAGCTCCCTGAATTTTCATTTTAACGCCAATATTACCTACGCTCGAAAGCTCCAATACACTTTCTACAAATGTTATTGCTTTTTTTCAATACACAGTGGACAGAAATTGACAGAAAGAATCTATGGAAGACTTGAGATTTGTAAGCCTGTACTCAGTGTTCGTAAACTACCTGAAGTTCGGGTATAAAAAGGAAAAGGACGAGCTGCTATGTTAAAAGTAGTCGGGCAGCCTTCCTTTGTAAACACTTTTTGATTACTTTTGTGGCCCGCTAAGCACTGCCTTTTCACGCAAGAAGAGAGTGACCAAGATTGTAATTCAGCTTCATATTAAGTAGCATCTATATGTAACATAAGTAAATATAGTTGTCAAAAAGTATTGGAGATCCTCCTTAAGTAATGTGGATTCGTATAATGACTTTCTCTGCGTAGCTAGCTTAGAAGCTCACTTGATAAAGGTATCTAATGAACGCATTGAGGGAATTGGGGAGAATAGAGAGAAACGCATGTTCTTAAATGGTATCAAAGAGTAAGCAAAGAAATAAGTGCACAATCAATGGCATTGATAGAACCAAAACAAATACGCTAATGTTTACAAAGTTCAAATGTGCAATTTGGCTACGGTATATGAAACTCTCAGCCTTCGCCGTTCTATTCTAGGACTTTTTAGGACAGTCAGTTTGTCACTCATCACTTCCCTCGACACAAAAGCCCTGTTTTTCAGTACACCACGAGGATTGTCCTAGAAATACGATAAACCATCAGCAAACAGCCTTTTCTGATGGACAAACTATCCTTCGTCCATTCATCTGTCACTTTGCAAAACTCAAGGGCATAGTTGATAATGTTTAATTACTCAATTTAAATTGTTTGGACCAAATTTCAATATAAAATGTGTTCTTCCGCTTCCACAAATTAAAATGGACTGTGGCACAATGTTTAAGTGCCAGAATCTAAAATGTAAAGCTTGTGGCTAGGCACTAAGTGTAAGATGCTTCTGTGAGTATTTTGTCTGATGATTCTGGATAAATACTGCACAATTCTTACATTACACACATGTTATGGCTTGATGATAGGTTTAACTGGCTGCAGCTCAACGGCTGGTCATCATTTTATTCTATAAAACTGATTGTATTTAGCCACATACATTCCTTTGCCATAACTAAAACTGCATTCTTGCGATGCATCCAATAATGCAAATACAGTAGAGGCTGTCACCCCTCTTTCTTTGGTGTGAACGTTTGGCACACTGATCAATTTGTAAAATCTAAACATTGCTTGGTGCACAATTCCACATTATGTACAAGGAGCCAGGAATTATGAGCCGATTTGGCGATTGGACCAAGCCAACCCGACTCTGGCAAAGTAATAGACAATCCATGAGTTTCAGAATAATGAGAAAGGAGGACCGTTGCCAGTGATTTACATTTGGAGAAACAAAAAAGATATATTCTTTAAATGGGAGAAAGATCATCAAAATGTTCTTTTAAAAACAAGCTGAATAAAGTACTACTGTGTTATTTGGCAAACAGTGGTTTTTGGAGGTAATATATGAAAAGTAATGAAGCTACACGTGCAAAAATCCATACACATTTGGTTTCCTGGGTGAAGCCACTGACTGCAAATTCTCAGAAAAAAAAAAGAATACAGATTTTTTTTTTTTTTTTTTTTTAAGAAAGTATCAAAAAAGACATTTCGACAACTGCAAGCATAAGACATAAAATATGAAACCTTAAGCCAATGAAAAGAACAAAACTGATTGGGCACTGGCCATGGGGCTCTGAAACTGACGTGTGGGATTGAGTCCTACACAAAGGCAACGAGTCTGCGAAAAAGAAATAAGACCATAAGGAGACCACCCACCCTGAAACCAAGTCCTGTTACAATCACACCAAATATGATACTAGGAATTTAAAAAGACTATACTAGTCTGTGACCCACTAAGTAAAACAATGTATGATCGCACTGAGGTCAACTTGAAGCAGTTTCTGGATGCTCCACGTCGAGCGTAAGAGCGTATTAGAGCAATAGAACTGCTGTCCTCATTTCTCACTCACGTCACCATTTAAAAATGTAATCACAACAGTTCTCCCATCACCAACGCTGAAAAGCCAAAGTGCATCAGTTCTTTGGGTCACCAGCACACCAATTTATCATTTGATGTAGCTTTCATTTAGGGCTTTTCCACAAACAATGACAATACATCTGTGATTCAACAAAGGAAAGGCTTTTAAGGCAAAACTAACATGTCTTTTTGATTTTAATGGAAGCAAAACATATTTCAAAATGGCTGAAATTCCTAAATGATTTGCATATTATTCAGAGTAGAATATCGCTGCTTTGCCTGAACAGATTTAGACCTGGGCTTTCAACTACACAATAGAAGCTAAACCTGTATGTTCATAGAGCACTTACGTTAGACAAAGCTCAAGATGAAAAAGAACACAACTAATTTCAAGCATGTGAAATCTGTTATTTTAACATTCAAATAGTAACATCTGCATACTTGACTATAAAGCCTCCACACACTTTTAAAAAGGGGAGTAAAACCCTCAAAAAGAATGGAGTCTTCTGCATGGACCATATACCCCATGGCAGACGACGGCACTACGCTGGGCCAAGCTTCATCCAACGGATAAACTGCGTATTGATTCATGATAACAGGTCTGAAAACAGCAACTCGACATCCTTCTCACTTGCTGCTGCTTTACAATTCCCAAAAAGCAAATACACATTTAGGCTGGCTATTTAAATGCACTCATAGCATAGCACCTTCTTAATATATTCTTAACCTGGCTGAGCAACAAAAAAAACAGTAAAACTCATACAATCAGCAAGGAATATTTCTCCTAGGGTTCAAGGCTTTGTGTTGACTGAATATTACAGGGTTTTTCCAAGACAACTGTACAAAGAAACACTAACGGAATAAAAGTGAACCGATTTGTGCCTGTAGGTTCTGGGCTATGAGGTAGAACCTGTGTGAGTGTAGTTTAAATACTGTCTATAATGAGTATGTAATCGATTCATGAGGTATTGAGCGGATATTCACACGAAGCTTTGCACTGGCAGAAAATCATTCCTTGTGAGTTAGTGACCTCCACAGGCCACATGTGCAAAAACAGGTCAGGTAAAAAGGTGATATGACAAGCATCTTACCAGAGCTTTCACATTATCAATTATTGCAACATGCCTAGATATAACTCTGTAAATATGTTTTATAAAACATGAAAAGATAAAAAGATCAATCAATATGAGGACCTTGATTACTGAGGCCTTTTCAAAAATATTAACTTGTTACTCCCTTTGCTTGAAAGAATCTGAATTCTAGAAAGCACCCATTCACAAAATTTCCTGAGCCCTGGAGGACGGGCTGATACCAAAAGAATCCATTTGAAAGCTTCCTGAAGGACTTAAAAGTCACATCTGGAGGCATGCGACTCCTCTGGACTGCACTTGGAGCTCTCCTCCATGTCATCGGCCGGTGCCTCCTCAGCGTAGTGGGACTCAAAGGCCTCAGGGGTGTGGGCGGGATCACTGGGCCTGGTGCCCATCTCGCTCCTCTCTGGAGAGTCAAGATGATTACTCTCGGACACGCCCATGTGCTTCTTTCTCAGGTGTTGGTTGAGGGTGCCCTGAAATGGGAAACACTTCCCACAGATCTGACAGTGAAAAGGCTTGTTGTCTGTGTGGCCACGGATGTGGTATTCAAGCTGGTCTTTTCTTGTGTACTTCTTGCCACAGAATTTACAAACAAAAGGAGTGATGCCCATGTGCAGGCGCATGTGGCGGTCCAGACTGCCCTTCTGATTGAACGTCTTACCGCAGTAAATGCAAATGAGTCTCTCATTATAGGGGTACCACTGGGTTGGACGGCTTCGCTCTCTCACATCATTCTCTAAAGTGACAGCACCGATAGCCGCCTCACTATCCTCCGAGGCTGGCCTCATCTGACTCAGCACGGAGGGCTGGAGGGCCAAAGGACGCTTACCACGCGCCCGACCCCCCCTGATGCCACTGAGCAGAGAGCGAGAAGGACTCGTGTTGCTGAGGCTCACAAAGCACGGGGAGGACAGCCCTGAGTAAGAATATGCAGAAGGCTGGAGCACAGGCCCAAAGGAGCCCACACTCACAGCCAACACTTGCTCTCCATCCACCAGCTCGGTGTGATAACCATCGTCTCCTGCTGACGAGCTGTCAGAGTATGTGGGCCGCTCCGTCCTCTCCACTTTGATGTGCACGTCTGTGACCTGGCCATCCTTCCCAATCAGTTCCACTTGCTCAGTGTCGCCATCTATCGGAGCATCCTGCTCAGACACACTATCACTGCTGCCCCGGTCCGACTGGCCCTCCTCCAATGGCTGCCGGCCTTGGCTCACGGCTTTGGCAGCTAGTTCCAGACGTGAGTCATGCGATGCCTGGGACTGCCGGGAGTAGTAAGGGGGGGAAATCTGAGTGGGGTTAATAAAGAGGTCACTATCATTGATTCCATTGCGGCCACTCTCCTCTTTCTCTGGACTGCCCACTGGGAGGCTGATCTTGGAGTGGATGCTCTCGAGGATTTGGGTGCATTTGTCTATTATGGCTTGCATCTGCAGAAAACTGGCAGCAGTGAGGAAGCTAATGATATCTTTGAGCTGCAGGGACATGTGGCCTGTGTAGCAGAAAGCCAGGAGCTGCTCAAACACCTCTGGGCTTTTGATGACCGAGATCGAGAGGCCGCTCATGGTGCTGAGGGCCGAGTGGTCCCGGAAATATGGCGAGCTGGCTGCCAGCACGGCCTTGTGGGCCCGGAATGGCTGGCCTTGGATGTGGACGATGATGTCACACAGCTTTCCCTGGAGCCGCAGCTCGTTGAGCTGGTTAAGAACAGTGTTGCTGAACTCCGGCACATCAAACTCGATGTAACTGCCGTCGTCCATTTCTTCAAGATATTTCTCCAGTTTGAAGCCTGTGGGGAGGAAAAAATATGTTAGTGAACATAATGTACAGATATTTCGATTAACTTTGTGTTAGACTAGGATTAAAATCACCAAAATAATATAGCTTGACCTCTAAACCTGCTACGCTGTATACATTCAACACTGTAAATGGAGACCAGTGACTGCAACTGAAAATCAACTGAATACCAAATAGACCAAAAACAATTCAGAATTATAACAATATTCTTTAATTCAATTTATCATCATACAAGTTAATTTTGTTCATAGAAATATGTATGTTTGCTATTGTATGAATAGAGAATTCAAAGTATATGCATTACATACACAAAGTCAGAGGGGTTTGGCACAGGAAGAAGAAATACTGGTTCTGAAGTTGATCACCTAAACATGCTATGCCACTACTGAAGCCACGCCTAAAACCCCAAGAGGCTGTATGGTTACAAAATGTAGTATTTTAATTTACAAATGTGGAAAATAACTGAAAACTGGTGGAGCAGGACGGGTCTAAGCAGCGGAGGTGGAGTAGCCTCTGGGTGGAGCAGGACAGGTCACAAGATGAAGTAGCTGCTTGGTTAAGACCATTTTCTTTGCTCTAGTCCAAAGTAGGGTTGGGCGATAAAACAATAACAATATTGCGATAGGCACGTGTTCGATATCATTAGAAAACAAGGTTGATAGAATGTTTGATAGTTTCACTTCACTCCGTTAGAAAAAACAGGAAGAAAACACAGGAAGTAAAGCCGAGTCAGAAGCGGGCAGCATTCTGGGGAATGTAGGCAGAGGCTTCTTGACCTATCACAGCCGGGCAGGAACCGCAAAACATTTTGGGATATGCAAAAAAAACCAAAAAAAACAATCGCGCCATGTGTAGCGTCCATGGATCTATAGATCGTTTTTCAATGCTGTGTCAGTGGTTATGCATGTCCTTGCGAGGAATAGCATGTGCGGTGTGGGAGAGGCAGTGGGTACAGAGACTCGATGCATTCGGCGAAAGCAAGAGATGGACTTTTTCTGGAGCCATCAACAGGGACACAAGACACTCGAAAACAGCCAAAACAGGAGCTGAACAAGGACTAAACCAGGATTAACAATGGGGGACACCGTGCTTGTGAACATATTCCTCGAGCCTCATTCCCCCGTGACTGTAAACAAGGCTGCTAATGTGTGTTAGCCGACAGGACAAATGTATTTATTTATTCTAAAACAAATTACATATATATATATATATATATATATATATATATATATATATAAAATCGTTATCGACCGATATTAATAACTTATATTTAGGCCTGTCGCGATAGTCAATAAATCAATTAATCGCACGATAAATAAAATTTGCTCAATAACTTTTCTGGCCGCGATAAATCCCATTTACATGCTTGTTTGTTTCCCCCGTCTCTCTCGGGTCAGAGAGCCGCAAAGTGGTCACGGGAACATTAGCGGTCTAGCAAGCAGACGGAAATTACTCAAAAATACAAAATACAGCCAAAACAGGACCTAAACCAGGACTTAACCAGGATTGACAATGGGGGACACAGTAGTTGTGAACATATGCCGGCAGCTGAGTTCTCATTCAGGCTTGATTAGTGACTATACTAGCGCAGCTAGCGTTAGCGTGTTCGCCAATGCAGAAGTACCGTACCGTACCAATAAAATAAACTTATGGCGCACCTCCGTGAACACATACTGCTGTTATATAAAGTCTCTAGAAGGTCTCTGAACACAGAGATGCTGCAGACTTGCATTCTTGGAGTAGAACTTTACACAAAAAACCCGCTAGCTTAGCTGTTAGCATCAAAGCCCGCCCCGCTACTTCCGGTGGGCGCTACCGCAGCAGGACTTCTGTACGCCCCATTGGTGAACCCACATGTCAGTCACTTGTCATTCGCCTGGTGTGTCTTAAGCCACACAAAGTCAACATGTTGGTATTTCTTTCTCGTAATCTGCCATAAAGTCTGAGAAATTATTGACATTTGAGGCATCTGTTTCATATTTTCTTTACAAAGGTCCTGGCAGTTTTATTCCTGGTCATTTTTTGTTAAGAGACTTGAGTATTTTATTTATTGTTTTTGGTTGTTTGTAAATTTATTGTGTTCTAGCGTTAAATATTCGTTAAAAATAAAAGTTTATTTCTCTTTGAAAAGGTGTACCTGCATGATCATTGTAATCGATGCAAATGATCTCAGAACGCCAATATAATCGCTTATCGCAATAATTTCTGAGACAATTAATCGTCCAGCAAAATTTGTTATCGTGACAGGCCTACTTATATTGTGATATAGTTTTCAGCCATATCGCCCAGCCCGAGTCCAAAGTAAAAAGCTAAATGCTTCATTAGCATTTGTCAAAAAGTTTTCTTTTTTTTTTAACTTGATCCACTTGGTTCGGACCATGAATCCTCTCTGCTCCGGTCTAGACCAGTGCAAAAACATGAACACTGTACTGCAGCAACATCTCAGATAGGAAAAATCAATACAAATAAAAATTGTAAAGCACAAAACAAAAACTGTTTCAGAGCTACTTAGGACTTGCAGTCATTTTCCAACCAGTGGGGGCGGGTCCCGGCTCAAAAGTGGCCAAAATGACGTGCGCTGACATGCTTGCAATACCACCCCGGGCCGATGGGAGTGGACCCGGAATAAGAATTAGCCAATGCTAACATATAGCATCTTCTTGCCTCTCAAAAACGTCTTTACAGGATGGTCCAAAAGTCAGCTCTTGGCCCAAAGCTCCGTTCCACATGTGTGGAAATGCTGAGGGGAGTGAATTTTTTTGGACCACTCTAGTTTACTCGCTGAGAATTTTTGAAGTCACTCGTTTAAATGAATGAGACTCGTGCCGGCTGACGCATGCGCAGATGAGTTTTTTTCACATTTTCCAGCCCCCGAGGCCATTTTGAATCACTCAATGAGAGCCCAATTTTTGCGGAGATAGGCGTCCGTAAATATATACAGTCTATGTTTCCAACGCATTCAAAAGTAAACTTATTATCCACAACAGAAAAACCCAGAGAAAAGTCACATAATATGCCAGAGGTGAGGCCGATTGATGGTGCGAAGACTGCGGCGGCGTGAACATCCAAGAGGGCAGCACTCTCGCCTCTCAGCAAGAAGGTCCTGGGTTTGAATCCCGGTCGGACCAGGGCCTTTCTGAGTGGAGCTTGCATGTTTTCCTCGTGTCTGCGTAGGTTTCCTCTGGGTACTCCGGTTTCCCCTACCACTAACAACATTTACAATAGGTCTTGCATGCGCCTCCTGTACTGGCGACCTCGCTCCCATCTCTGTGTGGAGTGAGAGGACAAATGCTCAAAATAACAATTGTAAACCGCTTTGTGACTCTGGTCTGTGAAAGGCGGTATATAAATAAAGATTACTTACTTACTACTACTTACTTACTAACACTCCAAGCCCATAGCAGAGGGATGTAACCCTCTCCTCGGTAGAGACACGCGTCACACGTCTGTGTACACACACTGATGCTGTCTCTGTGTAGTCTATGGAGGAGTGTAGAGGAGAGTGTAGGAAGGAGCGCTACCGCAGGGCCTTTATCCCCACCGCTGTCAGACTGTACAATAAGTCACTTTACTGCTACTACTATTGACACTGTTTCCAATTGACACTTGTCACTTTTATTGTACATATATCCTGCATGTAACATGTTTGCACATTTCCTCCTTTTGCACAATCTGAGTGTCCTATCCATGCCAAATGTGACATGTAAATTTCTCCTATGTGAGATAAATAAAGCACATCTTATCTTATCAGTTTCAACTGGTCACATGATTTAATGATGAGGCGTTTAAAAGCTTAACTGTTAGTTTCCGACAATAAACAAGCGTCCTATAGCTATTCAAACGTGAAGGAGTCAAAACAATCAGTCCATAAACTATGCTCTGACAACTGTATCACAATAAATACATTAAAAAAAGTTGCTGTATAGCGGCTTTTAGTCCGCCAATTACAATACATTAAATGCAAAAAAGTTTAAGTGAAGTCGCTGGAGAACAGTCCAACAGTTAATATGTCCAGACAAAGCAATTTTATGATAAAGAAATTGAGACATTTATGCATGTTGTGTTTTTTTGTAATTAGGGCTGTTTCAGTCAAAAAAAAAATCCCATTTAACAGAAATCAATATCAAAACAGTTGTCAATTATTGAAAAAAACTTGAATAGTTGCGATTAACTGATTAATGGTGACAGCACTACGCACGACTCAGTTGAGCCCTGACGTGTAATGAATAACTCTGTAATGTAGTCATTTTGTAAATGTACTTTCAAGATGCTTCCAATCGTTGTCAGTGCTGCAAACATGATTACAACCTGGAGTTGTGAAACGACCAGTAAAAATGGATTTCTCAGCAACCAGACATGCCTCAGGAACTTTGTGAATATGATTACATATTGTATTATTGGAAAAGAGTTGTTTTTTTCAAATAGTATAGAAAAGGAATAGTTATAAAACTGTTCCAAAAGCCATATTCAAACTATGCGTTCTTCACTTCAACAGCTCAGTAAAGACTGCCAAAAGCAGAACGAAAGAGCCAAGTTGAAGAGTGGCCAAAGAATGTATGCTCAGAAGTGGGGATGCATGCTGGCTTAGGTCACATGCTTGGTCCATCTGTGTAAAACAAATCTTAAGTTCACTATTCAAGCAAGAGTGTAGGCGGTTGGTGAATCAACTGTAATTAGAAGGATAGCCATATTCTAAAATTAATTATGATTCCATTTCAGTGGCAGTTATTTCATACAACATGTATGAAGTATTATGTCTACATTCTATCTGCAAACAGATCTGAATTACATTTCCTTCAGGACTAGAGCAAAATCGGTGAAAATTATACTCTTCTTAAAAACAAGCTATTTATGCGTTTTCTTTGACATCAGCGAGTCTTGGTTTGCAAACAGCATATAGGGCAGGCATAACCCAGGAGAGAAGTGCTTAACAAGCAACGGTTGCAAGAATAATTTAACACAGACGATTTGCATGTTCCAGTGAGGGATGCAGTGACAAGACTAACAACATTTAATAGAAATACAATTACATTTTCTCCCCTACAGCCTACAAAGCTGAAAAAATATGTACATTAGGTTACAAAAAAGAAAAGATTATGATCGATTAAGCTAAAAATTATGCTTTTTATTCTAATTTGATTGTATACATTTGACTCGGATAAAGGCGAACTGAAGTGAGCCCTAATTTTTTAATGGAAATTTGACAGTTTAGTTCTTGAATCATAAATCCAAAAAGTTACCAGGCTGTACAAAGTTGAAAAGAAAATGGGTGGCCCTGTCTGAAATTATGAAAATGTGTAAAAATAAGATTCACTTGGGCACCAAAGAAGACATTTACATTATTATTAATTACACCATAAAGCTTAAACCGAAAATCAACAGATTAGTCTGCAGGCGCTGCACTGCTCTTGACAAGAGAACTGAGTGGCATTAAAGAATGGGTCAAATGCAGAGGACACATTCCCTTCGTCTAGTTAACTGACTGTGTGCACCTCAACAGAAGCACTACTCTCAGAAGCTTTAGTCGTCTCACTCAGCAAGAAGACCTTCTAAACGTCCTAAATGTTCAAAACTGCAGACAAAAGGTTGTGGACTTGTCATAATGTAACAGAAAGAGCAGCCTCATTTTGGTAAAACATTGATACATTGTACAGGACAAGAATGAGGGGCCACTGAGGGCCTTTTGACTCTGCGCAGGCCTCATACTGTAACCAGCAGTAATAGTTTTAGAGTATAGTTTTTAGAATATATTCACTGTAACCAAAGTTTTTTCTTCTGTCAAATGTGAATGCAACCCAATTGGCAAATGTAATGAATAAACACACAGAGTATGTTCAAGGTTACAAAATGCACAGAATCAAACAGATAAAGTAGTTATGATCTGCCTTGTCACATTACTTGTATTGATGCCTTGTATATTGATGTACTATATAGAATATACTTTCATACCACTGTCGGCCCTTTCTGAGTTGAAGGACAATTGCAGTATTTTCAAGGGTTCCGACGTCCCTCTGCTGTAGTTAAAAACATATTAAAAAGACATTCTAGTTGATTCAAACTGAGATTAGGGGCTGGGACAAAAGGGAAGTTTTACAAAACTTCGCATATCTTTCACAATCAATGGTGAAACTTACATTACAAGAGCAAGCAGCACTGAGAAACCAAGTCCTTGATCTATTTAACCGGTTACCATGTGTACTGTAAAACAAAATCGATAATATATAATCGATTTAAGCACTGGCAGAGCTGCTAATGGTGACCTGACTGAGTCCTCTCAGGTGTACTGAATAACCTGCAGTGTCCCTGCACTTTGCCCCGTTCCACAAAGACCTGCAGATGTGCAGAAATGTTTACACGGTTGTATAATCTTATTGCAATATAAGAAACATTGACACATAATGAAAGTCACAAGTAATGAGAAGTTTTATGTCAGCATCTTTTTACATTTGATTATGTGTTTTACATTGTACAAATCCTCGGAGGTGCCGCAAATAAACACATCTGTGCTGCTTTCCAAACTTGGAGAGCGTTTATAATCTGGTTAGTTTGCTCCGTCAGTAGTGACTGGGTGGGTCGCCTACGGTACGGTCAGACTTGTTTTGCATCAAGTTAAAACGAACACATCGGTATTGACTCTAGTCTGGTTTTGGTTTTCATTATTAGCAACATTTTAAGACTCAAGTGGTTCACGGGCCGAGGTGAGCCTGCTCAGGCCAGCACCAAACACGCTTTAGAACATGCAGTGATCTGCTCTGACAGCACTGCAGTGATCCAGGCGCAGTGGGTCATGGTACCGTCACAGATCTCCACAGAAATACTAATAAAGCGGTGTTAGTTTGTATGAAACCATACGTGGCACTGGTCCTGTACAGAAGTCCGAGTCCATGTCACTTGTCACATGAAAAGGCTTTGCTGTTTCACAACTTTAGCATTAGCACTCGGCTAGCTGTTAGCTCACTTACCCGAGCTAAGGGCTGTGCTAGCCCCACCAAGCAGTTTCCGAAAGCTGCTGTAGCATGAGGTATGCTAACTATTACAGGAGCTAACACCACACCACTTCGTTGTAAGTTCAGTCAATTAAACAAGTCACAGGAAAATAAGTGCACATTGGTCTTACCGTCTTGTAAGTTATCGTAAAGCGTAGTCCATTCCCTCAGTGATCGCCTAGTGCCGCCAGGCCTCCCCCCCTCTCTCCAGATGTGTCAGACAGAACTGCTGCTGCAATTTTTTTTTTTTTTTTGTTTTTTTTGCATCAACAGGAAGTATTCTTTTGGCTCTTTGCATTCATTCTATCTGAGTGTTTTGCAGCAGCCCCTCCCATGCTGGTGCTACTGTTATACTGAGACATTATGTACTGGAGGACCGTTTATTCCACAGGACCAATGTGTAAAGAAATGTAGAGAGTTTGACATCTCTTCTGTCAGAGTTACTGAGGAGCTGAAACCAAGCACGGGGATTCCTTTACTGTGGGTTTATACAGAGTTACACCAGTTTACATTGAGACATTTTAAAAACACTGTCTTGAGATGAAAAGTAATAAAATATTTTATAACTTTGACCCTGGTCACTTGTATATGGTCTTACAAATGTAAAGTATTATTCCTATTACTATTCTCTTGGTTGTGTCACACAAATGGTACACGCTATTATTCTAAATGTTCTGATAGAAATCTTTTATTGAATTGTTTCGAAAACCAATTTGTAACTAACTGGAAACAATGTCAAGATTTTATGCTCATTCTTAAAATGACCACAAAGGGGAGCCATAGTTCAAACTTAGGGAGAAGACGTAATTGAGACGATACATCTGATTAATTGTTTAATCATAAAACTGAGGATATTCACATTCAGAATGTCTCATAGTTAGACGATATGTAGGCTGACATATCTACTTTATTCTTTTACAGATATTTGTTAAAGAAATTTGATTTTATTTATAATTTATATTTATATATTATATTTATATATCTTCATGTAAACATAGTTTTACAGCAAACTTGTTATTGCCTTCAATATATATTTTATTTTCCATCTACAGCCTCCTCCTGGGGACTTGAAAACTGTGTTTTGTAGATGGAAGAATGCATGCAATGTTTTTCTGTGTGAGTGACAGGTTGGCAGCAGGTGAATATCTGACCCTATCTGACCGCAGGTGGCTGATCAGTACAGACAACAGAATCGCTTTGTCATTGCATGTGCTTCTTTTTTAACAGGTCACTTCTCTATTTGACTCAGCCTTTTGTCCTTATTTCTGGAGAGGTGTGTATTGCTGAGGCCCAGCCATGCTACAGTGATTAAAGACGCTTTTTCTGATCCGCAAGCTGATCATGATATTGATAACATTTCAAACACACCCTAATCAAAGGCTGTCCTGTTGGACTTGTAATCTGTCCTGAAATAAGGCTTTGTTGGCTCAATGTCTTTTGCCAGCTAGGAATGATTTGGTGCTCAGCTAATGGGCGGTGTGGTGCAGGGATCATATAGGAGCTCCAGGTGGTTCTGCCCTTGGCCTCTGATATGCTTAATCCTACATGACTTTGCAGAATTCTCCAACCATCGGCTTTGTATAAGACGATATATGTAGACCAAGAAAATCATTTGTTGAAAGAGCTCATATCATGTATCAACCGCAGGAATTATAGAGGGCAACAGTTTGAGCCTAATTATATACGTATACATCTATAAATGTGTAGATGTATAGTACAACAATGGCAGATTTAAAATGTATAACAATAACATACATGCATAATGATTTTGATTCCGTTATGGTGATACTTAACGTCACAATTGTTTTTATATATATATTTGTATGCTCATAAGTCCAAATCTTCATATGAATAACACATTGTGCTCTTTGCCGGCTGGAGCCCCAGAATACCTTGGCCTTGGGAGCAGGGTAGAACAATGGCCTCCCAGTCCTCCTGTCTAGGAATAGTGTATAGCTCACTGATGGAGAACATATTTCCCAATAGCAGGTGTCTGGGTGAGTCCACACTGATCCTCACCGTGACTGTAAATGAAAGGGTCAGCTCGTCCAGGTGCGGGGTAGCCTTTTCCACCGCTCAGGTTACATCTTGATGCAGAGGCTGTCTATGGAAGAATGAACATGACAAATATGGCTTTAAAATCATAAATGCAGTTTTTTTTAATTGACTAAGTGGAAGACTGAAAATGATGGTTACTATTGGTGTATTTTTAGTGTTGAAAAAAAAAATCCATACACAAATTCTAGTTCCAATCCATACATTATATACTTTAACTGTTTATTATTAAGATTTTAACCTATACATGCATGGTTCAACTTTCATCTTGCTAATTACCCAATGCTAACCTCATTTGCATACATTTCATTTTAAAACCAGCTGGGCTCTAAACCAAATCAAGTACCAACCCAACTGTATGAAGCCTACAATTTGGCATCACAGTGCAATTAATGAGCTCTCGGATGTGTTATATGTTTGACTGAGAAATGAAGCCAATTTGTGGGAATGGTGGCCTGGGGTTGTGGAGGGAATACAGAGTGGCTTGTAAAGATGAGTGATATCTGGCACAGCATGAAGAGAATGAGAGGTGTGCTGCTCGGTGCCTAGCTCAAATGAAAGCTGTGATTAGTGGAGCAAAGATCAAAATGGCCGATCGCGCGGAGACTTCAGCTGGGCCCTTTGTTATTGATAAGTCTGTCATCTCTGCTGATATTGGGGCAGTAATGACAGCTGATGATTAGGCCACTCCAGAGCTATTAACTACATTTCTTATCCTTTTTAGTGGGGCCCAAGAAAGAGACAAAGATAGCCTTTATGAAGCCAAGTTCTTAAGCACCATCCACCTGACCTAAAAGCTACAACTGTTATGTCTTTCTGCCAGACCGGGACCATGATGAGATGCATGTCAGAGGTCGCCCTGAGCTGCTGTTTGAAATGAAGGGGTTCTGAGTGAGTAAGCTGCTGAAAGACGACTGCAGTGAAATTACAGAAAATTGGCTGTTTTGTCAACATTTCATCAGCAGATTTACAGAAAGCTGAGCCGAGCCGTTCTCTCTTCTCTTCTCTTTCATGAGGCTAAGGAGATTGACTGACAAACAAATCTCCTTTTTATTTCTTTCTCGCTTTCTCTTTACTTTTCTCAAAGTGACATTTAATATGATCTCTTTTTAATGATCTTAAGTGGATGTAATTCAATATCTCCCCATGATAAAGGCGAGTTGTATATCATAAGAGGGTGTGCCATTAGGATACAAAGTATGAATAATTAGGTTATAACCTCTGGATAATAGGGCCACATAAATACAGTTCAACCTGAGTGACAGGATATGAGAGGATGTAAAGGATTCTATTTGTTAGTTTAGAATTGTTTGGTGACACTTAAAGCTGGGGTACACAGAGAGAGTCTTGCAAAACCATGTGAACAAATCATACCCAATTCTGTTTTTTCTGTATGAAAAAGACACTCTTAAGATTGGACAGAGGCCATCTTAAGATTGCATACATGTATATAAAACATGTGAGATAGGTACCTAACTTTTGTGTTTGAAAGTTAGGTACCCCAGCTTTAAAGTCTTGTCATAACTGACGTATTATAAGTCAAATGACACAACATACCTGGGTAAATGCTATCGTCCAATAATTCATTGTGTAAACTAAGAATCATTAAAAAAATTCTAATAACGATATCCAATGAAGTACTAAGGATATATAGGAGGATTTTCGACTTCTGCGTGGCTCATCAAGACTATTGGTCCTCCCAATTATCAATCATTCTGGTGATATGTGTTTGTCAAATAAGACCAGTGAGTTTTGTTTAACAAGTGGAGAGGGCGCTTCTTTCCTGAAATCTGGGAAAATCAACCTGTACACCAGTTTACGGAATGTGAGGTGAAGGGATATATGAATTGTGTACATTAAGATTTGAATAGCAGGTGTTGGGAACATAGTATTTGGGTCATAGTTTCCTGTAGTAGTTAGAGCACAACATTTGCAGCCTCTGTTGTGCTGTCTCTGACCCCAGCTCAGTGTCTGGCTCTCACCAACAAAGGCCAAGTGGAATCTGAGGCTTGTTGGTTTAGCCCCCAGTGGCTGGAGGCAAAGCATCTTTCATTAACGGCTAAAACCTCAGGAATGAGATACTGGCTTCACGATAAGATCTGGTAACGCAGTAACATGGAATTATGGAAGAAGAAAATTGCCATTTTGTTTATAAGCACCTGTGATCTCCCATGGAAGCCCCCACTCCTGTTCCCTCTGCCTGGGCCGGTCCCAAGTGAAAAGCAGGGGTCCCAGAACTCAATCCATCCAGGGGGGATTTTGGGGCCTGGAGCTGCGGTGCTGCAGTTGAAGGTCAGCCAGAGAAACTCATCTCCTGCACTCCTGAGACGTCTCCGTCTGTGGTCAGCAAATGCTTATAAGGTCATACAGCAGTTATGAGGCACTCTGGAGGCATTGTCACAGTGTTTTATCGTTTTACCAGTGAGTGTGGACAAATCAGACGGCTGCTCTGAGAATAAGGGAGTTCTTGTTTTGGTGTTCTGCTCCTCTGAAGGTATGTCGGCCGAGCAACTTTCAGAAAGGTGTTTCTTTATCCGAGCCTCAAAGGGCACAGCACAGCGGCTACAGTGGACTCATAGGTGGATGGTGGCTTCATAAAGACTATCTTTGTCTCTATCTGTCATTTTGACATCTGAGGCAGGTTGGATAGCCTTTTACTTTGACAAAAGGTCCGATAAACCCCTTCCAAGTACCAGGAGTTGGTTTGAATACAAATATTTTAAAACAAGAAAAAAATATCAATGTGGATTCAATAGCAAGCATTAAGTGCAGTACATAGTAGTGTTGTCACAATATACATTTCAAAACGTATAAATGCTCTTTTTGGACAATACACTGTCATCTTCAAAATGATAACACTAATATAGTTTTTCAGTGTTAGTTCAAATATAAATTTTGACAACCCAAATGCAACACAATCTTACTAAGAAAGTTTTGATATTGTTCATATTACACTTTCTTCCAATAACCATCTAAAAAGTAAAACAGTAGAAACATGATCACTGTCCATTAACATATGCAATGGCAATGACTTACTTTATGCAAGGCAGTCATATGGACATCTCAGTTCAAAACGCACATGTTATAATATGCATTGGGATTTTAAATCAACCTTTATGAGACTTTCCCAGAGTCTCCATGAGCAAAATACAGGACTGAACGTGAGACCCAGTTCAAATGCCTGGCAATATCTGCACAGCAGATTAAATACAAGAAAAGAGAGAAAAGTCTTATTGTGGAAGAGCTGATGTGTTTTTGTCTTCTCTGGATAGTATCTTCATCACCTCTTTAAATTTTAAAGCATTTGGCTCAGAGCCTATGGGCAGGTTCTCTTGAGGAAGCAGCAAAGCAATCAGGGTCAATGCCGCCATAAATCTTCAATTGTCCACTTCTGAGTCTCACTTGAACACTTGATCTGCATTTTAAATAGAATATTTATGGTGGTGTGACTTGAAGAACCAAAAAAGAAATTTGTTTGGAATCCACAAAGTGAGTATTATGTTTTATGTATTTAGTGGGAGTCATTTCCATTATTTATTTGTACGCAGGCCAAATGGATTATACATTTCCTTTGCCTTTGGGGATGAATTGGGGGGTCTAAGAGCATGTATTTTGCACCTCATTTCAGATCTGAGCCTCAGCAGAACTATATGGACTTAACATAAGCCAGCTTTCTCCTCTTTGTTCTACTATTGCTTGGTATATTACAGAACACCTCCGTTGCCTATTCATCAAATCCAATACAATAAAGATGAATAAAGCAGTTGGAAATATGTTTTTCTTTGACCACCTAAACTAGAACAAATTACATTCATACGAGTGTCCTGTGAAAGGCAGAACAGACATAAACAACGAAAGTTAAGTGGGAAAGGGAAGAGAGGGGTACAAGTTCAGGACAATATTTGGAAGCTAAGATACTGACAGTAATTCAATTAGAGAAGAATCCTCTGCTGTTCTTAGGGTCAGAGTTATCCATGTTAATCAGGGCAGACCGGAGACTTATAAGCTGCTGGTTTCCTGCTGGGCCTCTGCAGTCTGACCGCGTACCGCTGTGTACGCAAAATGAACCTTTGCAGCTGTATATGTAGATAAATTGTATATAATGTTGAATTACAGTCTTAGCTCAAACATGATAAAATGCCTGATTGGGTTTATTTCACACAAAAAACTGAGTAAACTGAGTAGAAATGATGACTGAATGAAATCTAAAATGCAGATTTTGCTTGGGTGAAACCTACGGCTCCTGGACAGGTGGATGCAGAGGCTTAAGTGTGCCATGAACCCAAACACACACAGAGCCAGAGCTGTCATCTGGACTTTCAGATGAAGTGGAGGATTAGAGCAGAGGTGAAAGCAGCCGAGGCTCGCTGTGACAGCAGATGAAGGCCGATAGGGAAACATTCTGTGGAATTTACCAGCATTAAAAGGGCGGAGCCATGAGGTGGACCTACATAACGCATATTTGTTATATCATTCAGAAGTCTGAAATGGTGTAAAGGTCGAGATGGCTGAGTCAGCAAATAAAATACTGCATATTTGACATCATGCTGAGTGTCGATGACGGAGCTGACGTGGTACAAATTGCTGCCAGATCATAGAGTGCCTGTCCACTCGGTGTGTGTCATATATCTATAGCAGTATTATGGCAGAGCAGGAATGTGCTTTTGACTGAGCTGCGGTGGTCCCTTGGCCCCAGTCATTCGTCCTTCCACAGACACGCTGACTGGGCCGCACTGGCTCAAGTATCTCCACTAACCTCTCCTTTGTCCTGCTGCAAAATGGCCCCTTTTGTGCGCTGTTTTCTGCAGGTCATTGTAAGGAGCGCTTCTTAGTGTCAGCTTTAATTCTCACTGTAACCTTAGCTGTGTGATGTCTTCCGACTATCACCATGCCTGGCATTCGCTGCTCCTCAGGGAGCTGAGTATGCACTTACACCCCCTTCTCTTAACTTAACTGCACCCCGGGGACAACTCACAAACTTTCTTGTTTAAATTATTTAAAATGCCCTTTAATTGACATCCGTTAGACCTCACCCCAAGCACAACTTACAGCTGCTCTGTGGCAATAAATATGACGCTGTGGTGTCTTCTACACACAGGAGAATAGCAAAGAATGAAAATGTTGAACCGGTACGGAATCTCAAGGAGACTAGAGATAGTCCTTTCAACTGTCTTAAAGCTGGTATGTCTAACTTTTTAACCACAAAAAGGATAAAAACCACAGTTCCTAGATCTCAAAACTGGTTCTACAAATGTTTTCTTTTTCTTTCCAGTGATCGCCACAGAACAGTTCCCAGGGATCCCTCTCCAGATGTTGATGCTCCTCGTAGGCCTAACAGAGCTGGAGGATTTTACATATTGTACCAGTTTTTAGTGGTAGGGGACATCGGAGCACCTCAAGGAAACCTACACAGACACAGGGAGAACATACAAATTCTATTCAGAAAGTCCCTGTTCCAACTGGGATTCAACCCCGGGCTGAGAAGCGAGATTGCTAACCATTCAGCCACTGTGAAAGATACAGAGAGCATGTTGTAGTTTGTTCATAAAATGTTACAAGACTCTTTCTACTACTTTCCTTTACTAGATAAGTACCAGAACAAAATATCATACCGTATGTGCGTACTCTACTCATAAATCACTGCTTCCAGGGTCCTGCACTATAGAAAAGCCCCTTGTTTTGTTTTTATGACCCATCACCGCTGCATGAACCAGAAATTAAATTGACCTCTGTCCAAATCCCGCCCACAAAGCCGAGTGATGGGAAGTGTCCTAGAGGAAAGCAAGTCGAGTTGCATTGTAGGGAAATGCATCACAAAGTCAACAGCAGCGGTATTTTTCTCTTTCTCTGAACTTAAGCTGTGATCGCAGCTGGGGAGATAGCGCCGCCGGCCCCGTCTGGATGTCGAGACTCCAAAATGAGAAGAAACAACAGGAGAGAAGAGAAAAGCGGCTCGTGTTAAGACAGCAAACATCATAACCTGATCTCCACACTCGGCTGGGGTGCACTTCACTTTGGCTCTCTTCTGGGATACTGTCCATCTTCTGCTAAAAATAAATCACAGCAACAAAAAGTTGAAAAAGTTGTTACTTTTTTAATGAACATTAAAGGAGACATATTGTGTAGAAAAACATTTCCGACCTTGTTACACCATAATCAAAAGCAGACCTGGAGTTGTTTTTAGATTCATTCACACTAATATCAGAAACTTATGACACAAATCTGTAACTCCGCCCCTTCTATCTACTAGCTCCTGTCTCAAACCTGTTTTATACCGTATACTTATCGCCATTTACTTTATACTTACAATATTATTTAACTTTCTAAAACGTGAAAAGTAATAATTTGATACTTTATAAAACTAATAATCCCAATTGTTGGTTTCAAAATGAAGAGTCTTAAAAGTAAAATGTTGTTGGAAAATATCATATCTTTGGTACACTTACCAGACAGAACCCTGTAAGTCCCAAATTGACACTTTGGGTTTATTTGAGCTGAGTGAACAATGGTCCTGGCTTTAGAAAAAAATAAAAATAAATTTACATTCTTGAAAGTTATGTACCCCAGCTTTATGTAAATATAATGAACAGACTGTAATTATCTCTATGTATTATGTTGTGGTTGTGCTTTATGAATAAAGTGGATTGGATTGGTATGGATAATCTTTACTAAAAGTCAAGAGAAGATGGGCTGGTGTGAAATTACTTAGAAATGGAGAAACGCAATTCCACTTTAGGTTCAGCAAAACTATTGTATCTTTGTTTTTTAATATTACATCTAAACTGATCTATAGTTATATAGTTATTTAGGGCGATCCTTCAAAGCCTAAAATCAAGACAATATGCGTATATTGACAAAGGAATGGCTGCATTCCTCTGATAAATGGGGGTTATGTCAGCATATCAATCTCAATGATACTTCTTTTAACTGCACAGCCTTGTGATGGTAAATCTAATACAGTACACACAAAAATGTCCATACAGTTTGAAACAAATGTGGATTTTTTAAAAATTCTTGACGGTGTAATTCAAACATGCTCATGATGTTGCAGTCACTGCTCCGGCCTCACATTCTCCTGGTTGAACCCGTGTCTAGGGGGAGGCAGGCGGGACGGTCTCATGTCTCAAGTCCTCACAGTTCACTGGCTCCTTTAAAGTGAGCACACCCACCGAGGCCACGGGGAATACAAAAACCACAAACACTGAAGTCCTATCTGAGACACCCACAAGCACCCAAGCACATACAGCATTTGTACAAACCCTTCTACTATTGCTATGATTCACCCTTGTGCATGTACAGATACTCCTGGGAATGTGAAATATCAAAACAAAAATGTGTCCTCCTTATTCTTGTCAAATCCTACATTCTGGGACAAACCTGGACCAGTTTTAACAGTTTGAAAAAAAATGAATAGGGATTTTACAGAAGTTAACCTCTTAACATCCGCCTCATTTTGGCTCGTGCACAATGGTTGGGCATACCCAAATGTCTTTGCTTATTTAAAAACACATCTTACATCTCACATGCTTGTGTGATGCATCATTTTAAAGCTAGAGCCTTCTAGTTTATGTAAAAAAACACTAAAATAATGTTTGTCATCCCTATTTTCCTCTGCATCCTTTGAAGTTAGGGAAAAAAACCCAATTTTTTTAGGCCTCGCCTAACATTTTCAATTTCTAAAGGCCCTAAAAAAGGCATACTTCATTGTAAGTTCACAATATTCAAACCCTCTGTTCATTGTGTTGTTGACAACAACTGTCTAAAGTTTCAGACTTCTAAGTTTTATAGTTTTTATGCAGTTTCTCCTTTTCATCAAGTAGTGCACATTTGGCACAATTTGGCACAAGTGTGCCAAATTGTGCCAAATATCTTTACTTACATTTAATCATCATAAAAACGATATTTTTTATTATTGGTACTTATAAGTTACTAATCTATGTGTGTTTTTCTTTTTTAAATGTCAAAGTTATTTTTTTATGAGTGTAAATTCATTGCAGCTTCGAGAGCGTCTTTTGGCTTCCATTACGCACAATTGTCCAGGCCCAACATAAGACAGGAAACCATTGTCCCACCCCTTGTTCGAAAGCGTTCCTCATTGGCTACAAGGACATGCCAATCGTAAATCCCGGAAGTAAAAGCAAACAAGTTGGGACCCCACAAAAGATCAGTGTTCAATGCGCAAACAGCAGCGCAAGCTGTACTTACGGGACCTCTTGCAGACCCAAAAATTGGTCTAGCTTTTCGGGAGTAGTCTCATTTGAAAGATAAGGAGCTAAGGAACACGTGGATACCAGATGTTTGGGTGAAAAACAAAGCTAAAAGTCCGTTAAAAGTGAAAGAGTAACATCTGTGCTCTTTTTTTTTCGTTTTTTTCGCTAAAGATAAATGCACATTTTTGGATTATTTCTGCAGAATGGATTTTACTTTGGGAAATACAAGTGGATATAATTTTCCTTTGGACTGTTCCAGAGAGAATGATGTATTGCAAGCTGGGAGGAGAGCTGATTTATTTGTACAGCACAAGCCCAAAGGTAAAAAACTATTTCGGAATTGATTTATTTTGTGCCCACATTATGTGTTATATCTTTTGAATGCAAAGTCTGATGTGGTTTACACTTGTATATAAATGTAGATAAGAAAAAGCTTTAAAATGATATACAGCTTTTGGGGTTTGGTGTTCAAAATACATCTGCTATTGCCAGCAGAACATTTAAAAACATAAAAACAGCGGTTAAAAAAGAGGTTAAATCTGGAGCTTTTTGCTTTATTACAGGTCCCTAAATGTCATTTCCAGTGACATTTTCCTCAGCTGTGAAATTAGAATTGTTAAAACCCTCAAATTTGCTCAGTCAAATAGATCCTATCCCCAGACACCAGCTATAGCCTCTTTTATATTTACCATGGGAAATGTGAGCAGACTTTGGCGTTAGATCTTTCTCTGTGCAGAAATTGATCCCACTCACAATTAGAGTACATGAGTCATCAGAGGTAAAAACTACAGTGTCTCAGCTTCTCGAGTCCAGCCATTTGTTGGTGCTCCAAGTTCTTAGTTATTTTAGAGAAAAATAGTCAGCGTATATGGGATTGAGTATAGATCGATAGATACTTAACTGATCCCTGTAGAAGAAATTCAGGAGTCCAGTTGCAGCCGAAACACATGCATTCATTCAACCAAAACAAATAAATTCATTCTTCTAAAAATAGCTAACAAAAGTATTAAAATGCAACAGCAGCAGAGGTGGATCATCCGCTGGGTGGAGCAGGACAGGTCACAGCAGCAGGTTCTAACCATTTTCTCTGCTCTGGTCCAAAGTGAGATGCTGAATCATTTTTTTAGCATTTTTCAAAAAGTTAGCAATCCTCCAGTAGATTTTTGATTGATCCGCTTGTTTTGGACCATGAATCCTCTCTGCTCCTGTCTAGACCAGTGGGGGCGGGTCCCAGCTCAAAAATGTTCAAAATGCTTGCAATACCACCCCAGGCCAGGGGGGCTGCACCCGGAATAAGAATTATTCAATGCTAATGAACGTATATTCTTCCCTCTCGAAAACGGCTTTATAGGATGGTCCAAAAGTCAGCTCTTGGCCCAAAGCTACGTTCCAGATATGTGTCGATGAGTAAATTTTTTTGGACCAGTCTAGTTTATTCGCTGTGGAGTTTTAAAGGCATTGGCAATCGGGTTTTTCACATTATCCAGCCCCCATGGCCATTTTGAAACTCCCCATAGACAGCTAAAGTGGTGTCACATTAGTTTGAACGGCGGAGTTAGGCGTGACTACGTTTGTTAATATCTACGGTCTGGACCAAAACCATGAACACTGTACAGCAGCAACATCTCAGTTAGTATAAGCACCAAAAATAACACTTCTAAAGCACAAAACAACAACTGTTTCAGAGCTACTTAGGACTTGCTGCCGTTTCTCGCGCAGTCAAAGGTAAACTATAAACATCTATTAACTAAGTGTTGCATGATATTCTTATGTTCCTTGATATTTGCATTATTCTTCCATGGGATCATCAAGTGATATACATCCAAGAGCACATACAAGGCAAATGTCAGGAGGTGGATCAGTTTTCAGACATGGCACACTTCGGTGAACATGCTCACACTGATCAAAGCGGGACCCTGGCCTACCGCAGAGCATCCCGGCAGATCGGACAAAGTACCTCCATTGTGTGACCCCCCTTGTCCCTCCTCTGACCCGGTTCTGAAAACACATGCCCTCCCCCCGGGTTGAGGTTCCAGTGGTTTCTGGACGGTCCACACTTGCCGCGTGGATGATGAACACACGTGATGTGAGATGTCAGCTCTCATGGCGTGTGACAAGCTCAAAGTGATTAAAAGCAGCATGTGCCACCAAGAATGACAGAGCGCTGTGAGAGTATTACAACGGTGTGTCAAATGTGGTAGTCGTCATTTATCAGGGAAAAAGAGCATGTATGAGAGTACTTTTGAGAATCAAATGACTTATGTTAAAGTCTCGAACCGAAAGCACGCAGGGCTGGAGTTGACTCAAAACGTTCTTGATCGACTGCATGCATGAAAGCCACTGGCAAAGGCCTTAAAAACTACTGAGTCTATCATTACTAAATGTGAACCGCTACGATCATGGTGCAGAATTGTGCAACCAGGTACAGTATGTTCATGTAGAAATATACAAAAACACAAATTAACAATCAAAGGAATGTATTTTGCAAGTTGAATCAAAATAAAAAATCTATTTAAAAAGCAGTACCTAAAAGTTTTTACTTGTTTTCTTAAACATGTACATAATCATTTACCTGTATGCCTACAGTACTGTGTTCAAATATATGTTTTGTTTGAAACTGGTATCATATAAATGGAAGCTTCTTCTGAAGCCACACCTGCCCTGGGGCAGACCAACAAAAGTTGATGACCACCTCCACCAATATTATGATTGAAAGGTGAGTTTAGTATGTATCATCTTAAATAGTAGACATGTATTTGTTTGAGTGCTTTTTCTTCTGACTGTCTTTAACGATGACACTGAGATGTCCCCACTGTGGGAAAAATAAAGGTTCTCTTCTCTTTTCTTCTATTCATTCCTTGTTACTTGCAATAAAAGTTCAACTGCACGTGATAGTCTGTGATTCATATGCAAATGTTCTCTAAACAAGAAAGACATTGTGAAAGTCATTACATAATTTCTAAAGGTAATTCACTTTGGAGAGACCCAAGAGGGAAAATGCAGTTAGAAGTTTGTTGATTGAGTATGTTTGGCGCCCTAGGCCCGGGAGAGAGGCTGATGAGTGCGGCGCTTGCTCGCGCGCATGATCCCCCCCCCGGGGCCTAGGCACTGGTGACGGCAGAGGCAGTAGGCAAGCACGCTTCGATGAGAGAAGGAGGAGGTGGGGCGGCGGAGGCTTTGCAAACTTCAGAAGGCCGGGAAAGTGGGCGTCTCCGGCTTTTAACTTGCTGTCCTGGTGGTTATTGGTGGATTGGATGTGGGCGTTTTGCTGGTGTAATGAGTAGAGGATGAGCAGGCTTGTAGATCTGGCAGCAGTGGCCGGGTCTACCACAGTGAACTTTCGCGAAGAGCTTCATTTCACTTTGGAGAGACCCAAGAGGGAAAATGCAGTTAGAAGTTTGTTGATTGAGTATGTTTGGCGCCCTAGGCCCGGGAGAGAGGCTGATGAGTGCGGCGCTTGCTCGCGCGCATGATCCCCAAAAACGGGCAGAGTTATCTTTGCGCGCCGGGACGTGAGCGCTCGCTTCACGATCAACCGGACGCTGTCTGGGACGTGAGCGCTCGCATCACGATCGATACCAGACGCTGTAGCAGAGTTGTCTTTAAGCGCCGGGACGTGAGCGCTCGCTTCACGATCAACCGGACGCTGTCTGGGACGTGAGCGCTCGCATCACGATCGATACCAGACGCTGTAGCAGAGTTGTCTTTAAGCGCCGGGACGTGAGCGCTCGCTTCACGATCAACCGGACGCTGCCTGGGACGTGAGCGCTCGCATCACGATCGATACCAGACGCTGTAGCAGAGTTATCTTTAAGCGCCGGGACGTGAGCGCTCGCATCACGATCAACCGGACGCTGTAGCAGAGTTGTCTTTAAGCGCCGGGACGTGAGCGCTCGCTTCACGATCAACCGGACGCTGTCTGGGACGTGAGCGCTCGCATCACGATCGATACCAGACGCTGCAGTGGAGTTATCTTTAAGCGCCGGGACGTGAGCGCTCGCATCACGATCAACCGGACGCTGCAACAGGGTTATCTTTGAAGAAGTGCGTGCCGCCACCAGAATCTTATTGGTTCACTTACTTTGCTTTGTATTGCTTTGCTGGGAGCTTACGAGGAAGTCAGTAGACGTTGTGCAGCCAGGATAGCGGACGCGTCTGGCCTGATGTAGGCGGAGAAAGCCGAAGAGGACCAGCACCCCAGCTGTTGCAAAGAGGTGTGGGGGAGCCCCAGCGAGGCCGCGCGCGTGGCAGCGCCTATCCTGAAGGAGTGAGCTGTGTAGAGCTGGGGAGACAATTTACAGAGGAGCAGTAGGGATCTTAGTCGAGCTCTGAACCAGGTTGCTGTCATGGGAAGAATGTCTGGAGTGACAAATAGAGGTCCGTTAAGATCTCCTTTTTGCAGTGGAGGCGAGTGTAACGCATAAAGGATTTGTAGGGGCAGAGAGATTTGTCCGAGCGAGCTATTACTATATTGCAGGCTCCTTTGATTTTTGAATGTTTGAGACGGAGGTTGAAATGGTCAGGGGACATTATGTTGGGTGAAAGAGAGCGACCTTTGTGTAATGCTTCCACTACGTTGAGATTATCACACGTGACAGAGATCCTCTTTCTCTGCCACGTGTGATTCCACAGCGCGCAGCCACGACCACTGGGAATATCACGTGTAGGGCAGAGGAGATGCTCCGGTGGAAGTAGCGGCCACGGCCCGGCAACCCAATGGTCCTGGAAGAATCCCCCAAAACCCACGGAAGGGGCAGCGTCCGTGTAGAAGCGGAGACCTGTAGGGGCAGAGACATGTCGGAGAGGGCCATTGATGTTGCAGGCGCCCTTACGCTTGAAACCTTGGGTTGGAGAGTAGAAATCAGGATAGTAGGAAGGTCGGGAAAGCCGTGTCTCGGACCGCATGAAGGTTGAGTGAGCAATGGTGAAACGCTTACGCAGAGAAGCCACAGAAGGAGAGCAGGAAGATGCTGCGAGGAGGGCGGACATGTACTTGGAAGATGAGCCGGAGTTCAGCGCCGCTGCAGGAATGGGCAGCATGATGGGGAGCCTGCGATCAGAAGAGTGAAGAATACAGGTATGGATGCCTTTGATTAGGAGTCCGATTGACGGCTCAGCGCAGCTACTCGGCCAGCTGCATCTGATAGAATCAGAAGATTAAGTAGAGAGATGAAGCATGACCGCCGAAGCGACCCTGGGAGCATAGGTGCGAGTCCAGCGCAGCGCGGCATGCTCAGCCGGGCTGCGTCCATTAGAAGCAGGATAAGCTTCTGAGAGAGTGGGATGCAGCAGTAGCAGTAGCAGCAGCAACCTCAGATAATAACGGCAATAGTCCTGTATCAAGCCGCGACAGTAGCAGCAGCAGCAGCAGCGTCCTTAGAAAATAACAGTAATAATTCTGTACCTAAGCCACAGCAGTAGAATGTTGTTGTAGCTGTTCAGTGTTTCAGTAAAAGAGATGCAAGTGAAGAGAGATGGCAAAGTAAATGAAGCAGCAGTAGTAGCAGCAGTAGCAGTATGAAGCAGCCGCAGTAGCAGTATGAAGCAGCAGGAGCAGTAGCGGCAGCAGCAGCTGCAGCATCCGTAGATAATAACAGCAATAATCCTGTATCAAAGCCAGAGCAGTAGAATATTGTTGTAGCTGTTTAGCGTTTCAGTAAAAGAGATGTGAAGTGAAGAGAGATGTCAAAGTACATGAAGCAGCAGCAGCACGGCAGCAGTAGCAGTATGAAGCAGCAGCGGCAGCAGTAGCAGCAGTAACGGTAGCAGTATGAAGCAGCAGAAGCAGCATTAGCAGGAGCAGCAGTAGCAGTATGAAGCAGCAGCAGTAGCAGCAGTATGAGGCAGCAGCAGCGGTTGCAGCATCCGTAGACAATAACAGCAATAATCCTGTATCAAAGCCACAGCAGTAGAATATTGTTGAAGCTGTTTAGTGTTTCAGTAAAAGAGATGCGAAGTGAAGAGAGGTGTCAAAGTAAAGAAGCAGCAGCAGCACGGCAGCAGTAGCAGTATGAAGCAGCAGCGGCAGCAATAGCAGCATTAGCGGCAGCAGTAGCAGCAATAGCGGTAGCAGTATGAAGCAGCAGAAGCAGCATTAGCAGCAGCAGCAGCACAATGCGATTCATACGAACAACAGACGTGTCACGCCAGCGTGCGCCGCTTGTCTCCGTGAGCCAGGTTACATACGTGTCTGAAAGCCAAGCCGTAGAGACAGGTGCCGCCCGGGAGCCCGCGGAGCAGCAGCGGCAGGAACAGCAGCAGCGGCACATGTAGTAGCAGGAGCAGCAGGAGCAGGCAGCAGCAGGAACAGCAGCAGCGGCACATGTAGTAGTAGGAGCAGCAGGAGCAGGCAGCAGGGACAGGCAGCAGCAGGAGCGGCAGCAGGAACAGGCAGCAGCGGCACATGTAGTAGTAGGAGCAGCAGGAGCAGGCAGCAGGAACAGGCAGCAGCGGGAACAGGCATCAGTGGGATCAGGCATCAGTAGGAACGGCAGCAGGGACCGCAGCAGCGGCGGTCAGAGAACCATGCCCACGGTTGTTTAAGAGCCTGAGGAACCCGAATCCGAAACATTCCCATGCGAATAACAGACGTCCCCTAGAGCCATCTTGCTGCTTTGGTTATGGCAGATACGCATGAACCATCACTTTTCCATGCGTTCATAGCTCCAACTCCACTTCAAACCCATTGCAGATTCACATTGGGCCCCTTTTCTTTCTGCTGCACTTTCGAAATGCAACAACTGCAGTTTAGTTACCCAATTTAATACTAGTGAACTAGCTATTTAAATGCATGGCCCCTCCTTCCTCCTGCAGATAGACGAATTTAAATACATTCATTTAACAAAAGTGACCTGCGAGTAATGAGATTAATGCTGTAAAAAATGGCGCCGTGGCAAGAGTTCTGGTGTGTGCCGTCTGGAGCACGATGGGTAGTCTTTGCACATTTTTTCCAACGTGGTTTTACTGCAAGTGGCAGAACATGAATCTGAATTAATGCACATTGCTCCTCTTATACCCCTCAGACATTGGAGATTGATGCCATTTAAGATGCATTGTCCCTCAGTTAGCTCAACACGTGTAAAACGGAGCCTGCAACCAAGCACGG